ATAATACATAGTACATACGACATAATAAATATGTAACATATAATACATAATACATAACACATAATACATAATACATAATACAGAATACATAATATAAAACATATAATATATAATTCATAATACATAGTACATAAAACATAAAACATAATATAGAATTCATAATACATAATTAATACATAATACATAATACATAATACATAATACATAATACATAATACATAATACATAATATACAATATACAATATTTATTTATTTCTACGCATAGGACCCGCAGGACCAGGCGGACAGACAAGCAGACCAGAGGACCAGAGGACCAGGGAACCACAAGACCAGGGGACCACGGGACCAGGGGACCACGGACCACGGCCAGAGAACCACGGGACCAGAGGACCACGGGACCAGAGGACCACGGGACCAGAGGACCACGGGACCAGAGGACCACGGGACCAGAGGACCACGGGACCAGAGGACCACGGGACCAGAGGACCACGCAGGTGGGCGGGATGGCTTATTTTTTTTTTTGATGCTTATTATTTTTTTTATTGATCCCTATTATTTTTCTTTTTGATGCTTATTATTTTTTTTTTGATGCCTATGCCTAATGAAATGGTATAGAAATGGCATAATACAGTAATACAACAATAGAGCAAATTAATACGAAGATAAACGAGCAAAAAAAACAATCTAGAACACAAAGTATGTAGAACCTGCAGCCACAAAATTATACATTCAATGCAAGAAGAATACGGCAATATGCTTATATAAGGGCATTAATACCAAAATCAAGTAAACAATTTAACCATAAACTCCTATAATTATGTAGTAACCGACTTGATTAAACAATACTAACATACTCGCATAACAATATGACATATAATCGACATGAAAAACAAAAGAGCACGGTAGCAAAACCTCATAGAAACACAATGGCATAGAATATAGTCATCCAATAAGAGTACAATCGTCTCAATATTATGAGATTGTAACAATGTAAAATGATGATCTTCTACTAGAATGCAGAAAACATAACAGCAATACTCACAACAATCGTACTGATGCAAATGCTCAAAAGTGTTGGCTCGCTGCAGGGAGGCAGGACAGGACGACATTCAAACCAAGCAGCACGCGAGACCATGCCGAAGCTGGTCGGCGTCTCCCTGGCGCTGCTGGAGTCGAAGGAAGGCGTCTTTCCTGGGATGGCCCTTAAAACCCCTTAGGGCTTGGGGCTTAGGGTTTATAGGGTTTAGGGTTAGGGTTTAGGGTAACCCTCTGAAAAAATACTCCTGAATATGATCCTCTTAAAACCAATGAGGGAAAACACAAGATGTCCCAAGCGCCTACCGAGTTTCCCAGCCGCCGAGGGTGGGCCACGGCCGGCGACAGAGCGAGCATCGCGAGCAACGATCGAAACATGGCGTCAGAGGCGGGAGATGCTGGAGGCGACAGAGTGCGTTGCGCGTTTGTCCTACGCAGCACGGGAGCCAGAGTGTGGCCCGCGCGTCCACTCTCATGCCCCTTGCTTCATTTGGGAAGTTCTCGAAAATTGGGTCCCTTCTGGGGTCCTTATCATAAGGCGGAGGGTACCCGAAAGGGACCATAATTTAGATAACTCACCATTTCGGGCAGCATGTGACAGAGCATGCCAACTGCAAGCATCAAACTAACCACGACTGAAGGGAGAAGGGAGATCACTTTGCCTTTTGGACTTATTGATCATTGCCATTCAGTAACTCTAAGACTCTAAGACTCTAAGACTCTAAGACTCTGAGACTCTGAGACTCTGAGCTCGCTGCAAGTGCAGAGGGGTGGACCTTTGCGAGGCTTCCATGTGCAGAGGCGCGTCTCGCCACTCAACGGCACGCAATATCAGACAGTTGAAGCCATGGAGTCCGGCCCTTCTTCATCCGGAAGATCCGGGCTTTCTCTTCGCAATAGCTTCCTGTAAGACGAGGCAGCCGTGAACACACACATATATGTCCGTGTGTGTCTGAATGCATATATATATATATATATGTAGTTAGGTGTATAGTTGCAGCATGCAACAGAAGGATTCACTCGACTGCTGGATGATGTCATGTGACACTGGCTGCAAGTGAGACCACCGGCATAAAATGCTGCCTGTCGCTGCACTGGTTACCAGCCTCACCAAATCGACGTTGCCTTCCCAAGCCGCATCATGAAGAGTTGCATTGGGGCCAGCCTTCACACCAACGCGCAAGATTGATCAGATCAGATTCTCCAATTCTCAATGCCCAGAAACTCCACCCGCCTGAGGGGTCTCACCCTTCTTCCTTGCCTGGCCATGAGATCGACGACCCGACACATCTTGACGATAACTTATGAACTTCGAAGATCTTCAAAGCCTGTTCAGGGGGAGATTCACCCCTTGTAAGCAGCCGGCTGACTTGGGAGTCGTTGGCCTCCTGGCCGAGGCAGCGGCCTGGGCCAGGAAATAAAGATCACAAAGGGAGCCAGGTTGCGAGGCGCCCTGCTGAGGGTCCAGCCTGTTTGGAGGCATTTTCCAAGACGCAGCAGGCACCCATGGCCCAGCATGTTACGATCACTCGAACCTGGCCCTAATTTATTTTGGACTGCCCTGAGTCTGGCAGGTGCTGCACGCCGCGTGCTCAATGTCAAAGTAGCCCAGCGTGGCTGAAGCTCAAGGAATAAACTGCACCAGCAGTTCGCTTCGGAGCATCATGCCGTATGTGTGCTGACCACAAGTGCCAAATTATGTTCCGCAGGATTGGGCAGGGGGCATGTTTTGACCGTGCCTGCGAAGTGCGAAGCACGGTGAAACAGCTCGGAACTGGTGCTTCTCTGCTGCCAGTTGAAAATTCTCGTATACATACTGAAGCCGACTTTAATGTACAATGTACAAAGCCGCGCCGAGCGCACTAGCATCAAGTCTGAGTATGCAGTGCTGCCACGGTGGGAAAAACCCAGCATCTTTGGCTGCACACGCGTCTGATGGAGATGATCGCTGCCAAGTACTTCGTCGATGCCGGAAGTTATGGTCTGCAAGTCACACGGATTTCGAGGGCCTTGCGAGCTGAAGCGCTGCATCGGCTCTTCTCAACAGGTGCTCAGGTTTGCGGAATTTTGCACCCACGTGAAGGGCTTTGAAGACATTCCGCTTTGCTGCGGCATTTCGCCGATGCAGTGGTGGACCACAAGCACTCCACGCAATCACCAGTCACGCCCTGCATCGAGAGCATGGGCGATTCGCTTCTCTGGCCTCAGGACGGTGTCACCACAACGATGACGATCGCCACGCAGAGAACGCAAACTGCTCGGCCTTTCCCACCTCCTTCTCCGAGCTACTGTCTAAGACTCCCTTCTCCACCAAAGACCAGACAGGGGCATCTCACATCGAGGGCCAGTGCTGCAAATCTCTCATGAAGCTGGCAAATCCTCAGACGATACAGCAAGAGAGGAAGACAGGGAGCGACAGGGAGAGAGCCAGAGCGAGAGAGAGGCCAGTTTGAGAGAGAGAGGGAGAGGGAGAGAGAGAGAGAGGGAGAGAGAGCGAGAGCGAGAGAGAGAGAGAGAGCGAGAGACAGAGACAGAGACAGAGCGAGAGAGAGAATGCGAGCGAGAGAGCGAGAGAAAAAAAACAGGAAAAGAAACATACAGGAGGAAACGCGGAAGAAAGCCAGAGATAAGGAAGAAAGGCACATTGCGTCTGTCCGTCAGCCTCGTCGAGCAGTATGTCCGGCGGCTCCAGCATCGGGTGCATGATTTGCCTGTGCCATGAGTCTGCCATGGTTGCGCACACTGACATTGGCCATAGCCGAACACGCGGCCGTGGCTGCATCGGGCCATGCTTTATGCTTTCTATGCTTGAAAAATGGCTCGTTTCATTTCTGTTCGGCCTCTCTGTCTCGGTCTCTGGCGGCCCTGGCGGCCCTGGCGGTGCTGACAGTGCTGGGTGCGGGCGCAGCCGAGGCCGAAGGTTGGAGCCGTCCACCAAGTAGAAAAGGTCGCGGACATCGGCCACGAGGGCGCTGACCACCTCCCAAGGGCTCGCAAGAATTTTATGCACCCTCAGCAAAAGACGCCCGAGACAAGCGCCTCCCTGGAGGCTTGAAGCAGCTTCTGGGCATCGACGCCTTTACGACAAGCATGCACCCATGTATACCCATGTGCTACCAGAGTCTGCATCACATGCAGAGTCTGCATTCGAAGCTGCAGCAGCAGCAGCAGCAGCAGCAGCAGCAGCAGCAGCAGCAGCAGCAGCAGCAGCAGCACAAATGGATACAACTGCCTGCTTCGTCCAGTGCTTGTGCTTCCTGGGATGCATGTGCGCCCTTCGGCAGGGAGTTCCGAGCTTCTTGAAGGCTCTGTAAACTTCCGCCTGCTGGGGTGTCAAGCTGGACATGCAAAGGTTAGCACTAGGGTGCCTCTTCGATCTGATCCGGCCTGCGGCCTTCAAGCGGAGCGCAAGCTCGTTGAAAGCCTCCGCCATCTTCTTCTGGTCATCGCAAAGCTCCTCCACCCAGTCGTGCTGAACACTAAGCCCATCATGCAACTAATCATGTCTTCCTATTACCACTGTTTCGGGTTGTAAGGCAAAACAGGTGAGAGGTTAGTTGAAGCACGGGATGACATGATGAATGGACATGTCCTGAATCTCGAAGTCGAGCCGCTTCACGACAGCGGGAACAGGAGCGGGAAGCGAATTTGCCTACAATGCATCTGACACTCATTTGCTCGTAGGGCACTCGAAGTGTCAACAAATCACTAATGGCAAATTGCCTGCCGCATGCAGCGAACTGCTTCCTCTGACGTCTCATGCAGGGCAAACCAGAACTCTGCTCGATCCTTGCCCAGCAGCTGGAGTAGCCAAAGCAGCCATGATTCCAGTATAACTTATATAACTTATAGCAATTGCTACGATGCCCCTGAAACACGGTACTCTCTGTAGCCCAAGGTGCCCTCCTCAACTTGCCAAGCTCTTCATTCACCTCCCCAACTCGTGTGACCAGCTGCTTCACGGAGGCGATACGGGATTCAGCCCTCGGGTCCTGGGAAGTGCCACAGACACGGGCCTGATGGGACGCATGCAGTGCATCCCTGCCGCTCGCATTCCTCCTGTCCCTGTAGCAGTGAATGCCGCGCAGCTTGTTCCACCAGCAACAGCATTGCCTGGACATCAGCTGTGTATGGGCTCGGACCGTTTAAGTCTAAGTGTTGCCCAGTCCATGGAAACAGCACCTGCAAGTCGTTCAGACAGCCTCATGCAATTCGAGGATGCCCTGAATGCCCTGATCGACGGCCCGTTGCATGTCCTGCCAGTGCAAGTATGCAAAGGGGACTCATAGGGACTCCTGGTCGGAGCATTTGTCTCTGAATTCCATCGTCGCCTGAGCCCAAATCCAACTTCGGCTGCGCTGGACCACCAGACTTTCCAGGGTAACCTCCACGAGTGTCGGATCCACTGGCATCACCTAAGCCAGTCGGCGGGGGGGAGGTGATGTGGAGGTGATGTTGACCGAGCTTGAAGAGGGAGAACACGGAATTATAAGGGACCCGTAAGCCCGACACCGAAAACCCAAAACCCTGAGAAGCCCTCAACCCTTCTGCTGATTCCGGGCCTCATGGATGCGCTGTGTGAGCTGCGGTTCAGGGTCTCTTGGCTTCGCCGCAGGCCTTGAAGCGAACAGTCTGAACAGCTCGCGGCTTAACCGCCAGAAAGCAAACTCTTACTCATGGACGCTGCTACCAAAACGATTGCCAGAATGACTGATGCATAGCCGTCCGGAGCACTTCGCTTTTGGCGGAGGTGGGGCAGTGCGAACTTCAAGGGGCAGAGGCTCCTGTGATGACTGCAGACAAGGACGTGGCCCAGCACAGCAAAGCTAAGCACAACAAGACGCCATGGATTGCGTGAGCGGAGGTGCCGGAGGTGGACGATCCTGCTGACAAGCCTTGCATCTCCGCCGATGATCCAGAATCTGCTGTCGGGCTTCCTCAAAATTGTGCAATCGATCTCATTCCAGGCCAGGCTTCAGAGCAACTCTACTCCGAATCGCTGAAAAGGAGCTTCAATGGCACACCTCTTCACACGATCGAAGGCTTTCTGGAACTTCGCTTCCGCAGCCTCCATCGCCTTTCCATGCCGCAGCTCCGTCTGCTTCCTTGGCTTTCTAACTGCCTTCGGATCTAAAGCTCCCAGCAGCCTCACCTTTTCAGCTCGACAATGACAATGATGACCATAATGTGGTCTGGCGTCAACTTTGCCGCTAGCGCCTCCAACGCAGAGTCTCGGCCTGAAATGGCCAGCTCGCCCTAACCCCTTCTCTCCCCCCCCCAAAACTGCCCAACTGATGACCTCCAATGCTGAGTTCCGAGCTCCTCAGCACAGTTTCATGCTGGAACTTCCTCGATGGCGGCAGCGGGGGAAGCAAAATTTGGCGAAAGCCCAGCACCCTGGATCACAGCACGCTCTCTTGCCAAGTGGCAAATCTCCAAGCTCTCCCTCATGTCTTTCCAGTGCAAGCTGATACTTCAGCTTTGCAGCTTCGAGTTCTTTTGTGAGCCTGATGCTTGAGAATGCTGACTAGACAGTTGCATGCTGGAGTCTGAGCTCCTGGAGCCCAAACCATTCCCGCTCTGTTCACAAGAAGTGAGCTTCCACGAACACTACCAGCAGCCAATCCTCTGCACAGCATTCTGCTCCCGCCGCTCGAAAGCCTCTTCACTGAGCTCTTGCTTCCTCTGGCTGCAAGACACGCAAAAACTTTCTCAACTTGATAGGTCCTTGCAGCACTCTGACTCTAACTGTGACGTACAGAACCTGTGACTCCCTAAGCCGCTGCGCTGGCAAGTGTCTCCCTCAACCAAGTCTGCTCTGCTTCCATCAGCCTCAGCTTTGGCGATTGATGCCCAAAGCTTTCCTCTTTGGTTGGGACTGTCCCTGAAGTTTTGTGTGCACCTCAAGCGATGGAATCGAATCTCTTGGCCATCAAGGGGCGATTCCTGCTTCTGGGCCGAAGCAACAGCTGCAGCATGGCGCTCCTCCAGATCCTTTACAAAAATAGAACGGGTGAGCAAGAGGGCGCTACAAGGGCGAGACTGGCACTCTGACCACTCTTTTGATCCAAGGCTCGGTTTTCATGCTGGTCATTTGGAGCCTGGGCTTGCGCTCTTTCGATGAAAAGTGGCTTCCAGCACATTGCAGCCGAAAGCACTCCTGCAAGCGCTCCAGACTCTCAACTTCGTTGGAATACCTCAGTTGAAGACACTTGAACACCAACAACGACTCCCAAACCCCCAGACCATGCCAGGAAACTTCTGTTCCACAAGCTCCAGCCGTGTTTCTGCTGATTCAGCAATAGCTTCGCACTGTAACATGGCGTGGCTGTACCTTGACTGGAGTAGCGCTCAGCTGACACGAGACTCTCCTGTCTGAGCTTGGGGTCAGGCAGGCAGAGATGTCGCCATTCTGTGCTCGAGGTACTAAACTACCTCGCTGACTGCGACCGAGACGCTGGTGGTCCATGTCTGCTATGGACGTGATGTGTTTCTCTTCCTTGTTTCGGCGGCCATCGCTCACCAGCACGGGCGGCGCAAGGGGGGCACTCTCAGCTTGCTAGACTCTTGGATGACGTGAGGCCAGGATGCAAGCTCTTTCTTGAGGAGATCCATGGCCTTGTCATGCTTCTGTCGGGTTGCTTCCAGCACGTTTGTGTACTTCTCCTCGCAAGTGCGGCTTTCAACTGGTTCTCAGCCCCGATTCCCAGCAGCGCACGGCTTCCGATGCCTCTTTAAACATCTCTCCCATGAAATGGCAAACAAAGGCAACTGAAATCTACATCTGCCAGGCGGCAACCGACAAATGGTACTTGATTTGGCCAGCTTCTAGGGCGGCTTCCAGCCTGACCTAGGCTCCACATCGCATGTTTCAGATGCTGCAAAAGAGAGCAACCCAAAAAGCGAGAGCAAGCCATGCTTTTGTTGCTTAATAAACGGCTTTTTCGGTGGTAGCTCATGATGATGCAAGAGACGACTTCGTTCTGGTGATCTTCTGCCATCTTCGCGCAGTTGGACTCATGACTTTCCTGCAATTCCTTCTCGCACTTCGCTATTTCTTCCTGGCCAAGCCATCAAGCTGCTGCGCGCCGCCACATTTCGGGCACTAAAGTCATAGTCATCGGGAATTGACGGTCAAAAACTGAGTTTATGCGGGGGGCATCTGCGTCTAACTTGCTGCTGCCAGCATGTATCATATGAAGACAAGCATTTCCATCATGAAAACAAGTGGGATTTTATAGATTTTATAGGGGAATGCGCTTGGGGGGTGGGCAGTGGGGGAAGGTTAAGTTGGGGGGGGGTACGCCTTTTGTGAACATGCGCGCAACACTGCATGTTCGGCATTTTTTGCCTTTTGTGGAAAACATACTGCAGAAGAATGTTTGGTGCTTTTGCAAGCAGCTGTCACAAGTGTTCATGCCTTTTGCGAACATGCCCCCCCAAACACTGCTATGAAGTGCGCTTTTGCCTCTTTCTACAACATACTAAGCCTTCACCATGTTCATCTGCAGGCAAGGGTTTCTTTGCGCTTTCAGCCGTAAACACCGACCCTGTGCGACAGACGCGTCAACTCGAGTTTAGGCCATTTCCATGCAGTGAACAGGAATAAACGGACCCCCCCCCCCCCCCCCCCCCCCCCCCCCCCCCCCCCGTGGCGCGGAACCGCGTTTCTTGGGGCAGGCGTTGTGCTGTCAGTTGCGTCTGTCCTTTTTCGTCCCTATTAGTGGATATACCTTAACTTGTATTGTAGCCCACCGCCCTTCCCCCAAATGCGAGCGTCAGTGTCTTGAACTTTCTTCTACCAGAGTCCCGGCTCTGAAGAAATTCTCTGGAGTTGTCTGGAGGGCTGCGGCGCTGGGCTGGGTGCTGGAGGGCGGGAGACGTTTCAACTCCCGGATAGTCTTGATACGACCTCTGTCGCCACTGGTATGGGCGGCCCTCCACATATTCAACTACCGTTCATCATACGCTCTACAGTGTCAATCCCGTGTCATGTCGAATGTCGCATGCGGTTCCTGCAGCTTCTGCGCCGATGCTTGTCTCTCTTCCAACAGCTTTTCCTCTGCGTCGGAGAGCAACGCCTCATGTCAAGATGATGTGCAGCAGTTCACGCGAAGGGTGCAATCAGCTCCTGCTGGAAACGTTCGTTGGCCTCCTGCTTTTCCTCCACTGCTTTGCATGCTTCGTGCCTGGCTTCAGGGCACATGCCGAACTGGCAAACACCTTCGATCAAACCAGATTGCGTTGCCTTGCCTCTCTTCAGCTCTGAGCTGGCGCTCCACAAGGGCCAAAGCATGTCCTGATGCAGGAGCTGCTCTCTAAAACCCTTCTCCTGGGCCTCGGGGAAAAAGCTGCCATGCAAAACTGGCCATCCAAGAGTCTTTCTGCTGCTATCTGGGAGGCCGCCTCGTGCTGCTGTTGAGCAACCTGCCCCCCATCGAAGTGACAAGCATTTTAACAGCCAGACCTGCAACAATCTTATCTCGGCGTCTGCCTCCAGCGATGTCGCCAATGTGCTCTTGGCTTTCTTATCTGAGGCTGTCAGCTCCTCAGGGGTGAAGCTCTGCATGCACGTAGTCGTCGAACTAAACAACGCAACGCGCTCAGGGGAAAGCGCGGACAGACATGGACAGCAAACCTGGGACCCGGCCACCTTCTGGCGACCGTAGTCTAAATCAAACAAGCATCTGTCTCCAGTGTCGCACAGCGGTTGACAAGGGTGGCATTTTCTTGTTCTTTGCGCATCAAGGCATCGTGGTACCTCGTGGCTGAGAGGAGGAAGCAAAATTGCGCCAGTGTGTCAACCGCACTTCTTGGCATCTGAATCATCAGATGCTTCGTCCCAGCCTCGATTCCAAGTCTGCCCGGTGCTTCTCCAACGCTTTCCGGATCCTCAGTTTTTTCGGAACAACGGACCAAGGGCTGATGGACTGGACAGAGACGGTCTGACCTGGAACCAAGTCCCACAGCACACAGGAGCAAATGCCATGCCAAAACGCTTCTGCTCGGAGAGGTGGATGGCTAGTTGGTGCTTGTTTTCGGCTGCCCGTAGTGCAGCCTCCCGACCTAAGTCACGCCACCTACGCATAGTTGTGCCAAATCCTTTTTGCCAATTCGCACCCAAGTGCAATCTATGGCGCCCTGGGCCAGGCAGTGGGCCAGGTTCGAAAAGCAACCCCGAAAAGGAAAGCTTCATTAAATTGCTCCAACAGAGGTGCTCTGAGTTGACAGCTCTTCTTGCTGTGCTGCCGTCTGCAGGGCCAGACGGCACTCCAGCTCCGAGGCCCCTTGCCTCGGCTTCGGATTGGCATGGGCTACCATGTGGGTTTACCATATGGGCTACCAGCTGCTACCACATGAGTTACCATGGGTTGTGCATGGGTTCACGAAGACTGACGGTTCCACGCTTCGGGCACTATCGTATAGGCAGTCGGGGGCATCGGCATATTGAGAGTTGAGTAACTAGTTCGATGTAGTTGGACAGCGCTGGTGACCGTAAGCTGGTGCAAGGTCCCTATCAATCACCATCTGTTCATAGTCTAGTCTGGTCACCTTCATGACATGCGGTTTTCGGCAGAGAGTAGCAGGGTTCCTACAAGATGGTGCGAAAGACCTACCTGCTCATTCTTGGCATATCGTCCGAGCGTAACCCATGCCATGAGTTTGAGATAGTCTGATCGTCGCGCCGGTTCTTAAGAGTTCTTCATAAATATAAGAACGTATGAACTGGAGTAAGAGATCATGGTGCCAATATGTGCCGAGTTGAAGCCTTCTAGTCAGCGTGTGTCACCTGTGCGGTGAGGTTTCCCGGCAACTGCCCCACGAACGCCTTCAGGGAGTCACTAGAGAGTAACCCATTGATCCGAGCGAACCAATTCTCCAAAAGCTAAGTTAGTCCATCGGAACACACGATGCTTGCGGCCCAAGCTGCATAACCTCTTGCTGAATCAGAGCGGTCTGGAATTGCTGCTGTGCTTCAAGATGCGCTGCACGGCGGGCTTCTTCCAAATGCCCTGACGAATGTTCCCTACACTTCCAGCATGACCTTAATTATAATAACAATACGAATAACGAGAATAATAATAAGAAGAATAAACATAATGATGATGACCCCTTGTGAAGGGACAGCAAGAGCAACTTCAGGCACGTCCGGCCTCCGTGTTGCTGTGAGAGAAGTTCCCACTGCTGCCGTGACGCCAAGCGAACATCCTCCATCTCTGCACTCCTCAAACTATTAGACATGCCTTTCCTAACTTCCATACATCTTGGGAACAATTTGACTTTCCTGCTCTGCTGCCCATAACTTCAAGCGTGCCACCAGCGTGCTTCAGACAGCTCCGTCTTTTGCACGAGTAGCTCCTCACTTCGCTCCATGCTGGCCTTAGTAGCTTAGGGGCTTCCGACACAGCTGACGTCCTCTCAAAGCCTAAGACACCCACCAATCGGTGAACCGAACGTTCTCGAACTTCTTTGTTCAATGCAGGGCTCGCGACAGCCAACAGGAAAGCAACTGGTGCTTGGTTCATTCATTAGCTTGGGTCCCGGCAAGCTCTGCCCGTTGCCTAGGCAACTCAGCTGCCGCACTCTCTCTCAGAGCCAGGAGCTCAAAACCAGTCCTGCGCCAATCGCGGCAGCTTGGATGACATGACTGCCGCCAAGAGTCCGCTCCAAAACCATTAGCATTTCGTCTAGAGCCGCTTGGTGCCTCTTCTCCTTTGCACTGGGATTCCAGAAGCGTCGAAGAAGAGAAAAGCTGAATTTGCTTCTGAGCTGCCGCTTCGTTTTTGTACTTCATCTCCAAGTCCAGCCGATGCTTCTCCAAAGCCCGTGCGATTTTCTGCTCGGCTGCTTTCAACCTTTGTCATGGGAGACCATTGTAAGGGAGTGGCAATTTACTCAATGCCTCCGGCCCATGACTCTTGATCACTTTAACGTTTAACTGTACTAGGATGTACGACAAAGAGAACGTGCGACACAGAGCCAATCACCAAAGGTCGTGACCTACTTTAACTTGAGATGACTGTGTGCTAAGCGTTCACAATCAAGTGTTGGGTGGAGAAAAGAGTTCTGCTGGTATGGACTTCGCCCACCCGCAAGCCGATCAACGGTACACATGTGACATGGCAAGCCCGGAAACGACAGGTGATGCTTCTGTTCCATGGACTTCAAGGCGGCCGCATGGCGCTGCATGACCTCGGGGCATCTTCTGTGTAAGGGCTCGGGAGGTCGAGTTGGGTTCAGCTTCGGCGAACTACTGGCCATGCTAGGACCCGGGCGAGGGCCTCGTTGTCCTGTGCAGCCTGAGCCTCAGTGCTGAGCTTGTCCTGAGCCCAGAAAACATTGCGTAGATGCCTGCGCTACGCTCTGCTGCTGCGCTGCTGAAAGGCTGAAAGGAAAGCAAGGCGAAAGCAGGGCATCTGCCATCCCTCGCGGGTCCTCAGTCAGGCGCTGCCGCAAGGCCAACGTCTCGAGGGAGGCCTCGCGCGCAGCAGCATGCAGCGGCGATACGTTGACGATTGCGGCAACCCCGGGGTTTAAAAAAACACTTTGAATATCAATCGGCCTCGTACTTCATTGCTTCGCGCTGGTACTTCTCCTCTCGAAAGCCAGCATGAACGCTTGGAAGGGCGAGATAGCAACTCTTGCCACGGTCAAGCGCGCCTCTGTTGCCATCACACTCTGCGCCTCTGCCAAGCTGAGCTGGGACTCCAGGGCTTCTCCGGCTTCGTTTCGGCTGGCTGTTGCTGTCAGATATCTGCCCAGGTGCTGAGCTGGGGGTTGACTTCTTGCAGCATGCAACATGATTTTTGCTTACAACTTCGAGACATGTGTGCCCGACAAGCACGACCCCGGCCTTTGTTCCACCTCCTTCAGTTCTGCCTTCTTCTTTGCCAGGGATTCCTGAAGCAGTTGCAAGATGCTGTAAGTCCGAGCCTTGGCATCATCAGCGATCATCATTGAGGTTCACTCCTGCCTCATACTTCACTCCGGCTGTGTCGAGGGCGGCATTGTGCTCTTCCAATGCCAGTTTGTAATTTGACCTGCAAGGAGGTGACAACGCGCCTCTTCCCGACATCAAGTTCACGCTCGCCTTTTGCGAACGACCGAGGTGGACTGTGCCGCACTGCTGAGCGCATCCACTTCTGCGGCTTTCTTAGGGCCGTTGAATGCCGGCCTTGTGAGGTCAAGCTCTTGTTGGTACTTGTCCATGCGCGTCACAGCGACATACCGTGTCCATGCCTCAGCTGGCATGCCAAAACGGCCCCTGGTGTCCTCACCTACTCATTCTCAATCTGAGGTCTGTGCAGACATGGTGGTGGACAGGTAGAGGGACACATCGAAGTCCTCGAGATAGCTGGCACACCGCGCCGCCATCATCTCGGGTCGCTTCTTGGCTTCTTCCACGGCGCGTCGTTCCTTCATGAGCCACGCCTGGGTCGAGACAATGCAAAACCCACAGCAGCCTCCACTGGGCGTATATATGCAGCATGTTTACCAAATAGAAAATGCTCTCCTTGCAGATTGCAGATTCCGCTGACGTCGTGGAGGCCCATGCAAACCACGCCATGCAGCAGCAAATCGGGGTCAGGGCACGTTCCGCCGCAGCAGATTGTAGCTCCTAGGCTCTGGCTTCCAGCTGTTTGCCAGCCGGTGAAATTTCATCTCCAACGTCCCTGGGGTGCATGAGAGGCGCCGTGCAGCGCGCGAGCCGCTGCCATGCTTGATCTCCAGCTTCCAGTGCTGCATCCTGGTGGCATGCAAAGTGTGCAGCTGCTCTGTATCATCGGTGTTTTTCTTCCAAGCAGTTGATCGGTACAGTGGCTTACGTGGCTTACTTTAGAACTGGATGGATCCTCTGACCATTCGCAAGAAAGCACATGCGGTGAGATAAGCTCTCGGCTTGCTGCTGGCACTAGGCAGGACGTCATTATGGCGTTGATGGCCGGGGTGTTTGGGTTGTGCACCGTTACAGACTACATGAACAAGGCCCGCCCCCCTTGCTTGCGGGAGCCAGCCGTTCTGGGGGTTGTTACAGTGGCATGCTGCGGCATACTCGGCATACTGCCGCATATGCCCTGTGTAGGGTGTGATCACTCGTTGCGGATACTACGAGTACCTTGTGAAATCACAGCACCCTCTGAGCTGCTCCTTCATGGAGAGGACGGTCCCAAGCGAGGTCCGGCAAGTGGCTACCTGGACGAAGTTCACCAGGCTTCGCAGTGTATTGCTTGTACTGCTCTTGGGAGGCCCTCAACTAGAGCCTCTGAATGCTTAGGTCTGCACCCAGAACCACCACACTGCCAGCAGCGACCAAGCAGGGCCCATCATTTCGCGCTGCCGGGCAACCCGCGCACAAAGCGCCAAGCCATCATCGCGCAAACCGATTGCTTCCTCCATCACCTCTAGTGTTATGCGACCAGCTTTGGCAGGAGCATAGTGAACACATTGCTGTTCTTTGTGCTTGTTCAAAACTCGAGCATTGATTCGGAATGCCCGCGTGCGCGCGCGCACATTTCTCCGGTTTCTTCCGATCATGGGCCTGGGTACGTGGGATGTGAAGACTTGAAGCTCTTGCTTGCTGCTTGCTGTTGCCTTGCACCATCGTGCTGGTAGCGGCCTTGATTGGCGTTCGGGGTCGCTTCATGGGCTTCATTAACTCATGGTCAGTCGCCCATCCCCCGAAGGTTGCCTCTACTTTGTCGACCAGAACATTCGTGCAGGAGGCGACCTGGTGAGCCTGTCTTCTCGGGTTCTTGTAGATGGTGCCCCGTTTTGCTTCCATGCGCACGGATGTCGCCCCACGCGGAAACCGATGATTAGTGATGGGACTGGGAGGTGAATTTCGCCTTGGCCTTTAGTTGAGAGGCGTGTAGAACAAGCTGACCAGGATCTGACTGGTCTCCTGATCCCCCCCGGCCCCCTTGGGACCTTCTGGCACCCCGGACCCCTTCAAACCCCCTGAAACACCTGACCCTGGGCACGCCCGCTCTGGGACCTTTCCTTGGACCGTGGCGCACGCTACACCCCGCATTGGGCCAGCTCGGCTGCCGAGGCGGCGTGCGCAACTACTTTTCTCTCGAGTTGTTCGACATCTTGAATCGAAGCTCAGCTGCTTTGAACGCTCTCGTCTTGGCTGTCTCGTAGCTCCAAGCCTGCCATACTCGAAGAACCTGTTCTGTTGCGGCCGCATCATGCCTGGCACGCACCAACCAAGGATCAAGATCAAGGCATGAGCAACGACCAAAGATCGAAGGCATGGATAGGCGCCTTAAGCGGCTGATCATTCTGTCAAAAGTACGTCGTGCGCGAGCGAGATCAACCTCAGTTGGTGCAAGCAGATGCAACAGTTTGGGGCGGAGAATGTTCGTGCGGTCGTGCAGTCGTGACGTCGCATGCCGTCATTTTCCCCACAACCCAGCTCAAGCCATGCGGCTGCTGTTTTGTGCCAGGAAAGGAGGCAACCATGCAAGGACGTTGAGCCTCATTGCGGCATGCTCCGAATCTCCGATTCAATCATGAAGGTAGATGGACTTATGTGCTGCAGCCATCTTCAACTGTCTTACTTTCTGCAAGATCCGTCCCAGACACACTCGGAATGAGCCGCAACGAACAGTCGGCGCCATCGAGCCCTGCGTGACCCCCTCGTTGCTGCTATGCCGGATGCAGCGCATCGTAATCGCCACTGCTGTACGACCACGCCTTACTCAGCGTGCATGTCATGAGTGGACTCATTGGCCTCCCTGCCGGGGCCCTACCGTACGGTAGCAGCTGTAGAGTCACATCTTGCATCTTCCAACAAGCGGCCCGAAGTGCTCCAACTCCCTGCCGCAGACGGCATCGCCGCCAGTCGTTGCTGGAATCGCTGCACCCACCGGGCGTGATTCCAGCTCTGGTACCAGCTCCGGGCCACCACCCAAGATGCCTGGAAGCATCAAGGCAGCACCAAGCAGTCGGTCACTTGGCAGTGAACCCGCAATGGAAAGCTTCGCTCAGTGAAGCGGCGACGCACTTCCGTTTAGCTGTGAAGGTGGGAAAGGCTTACATGCGAGTAGCTGGGTTGTGAGCAAAGGAAACCACACTTCCTCAAGTCCGGGCCGCGTCTTCACCGGAGCGCCTGCCTAAGGACTCAGCTAGTTGTCGGCGCTGCTTTGCTGCTGCGTCGGCTCCTGCTGCGCTGCGCCTGGCAGCGAAAATCATTTTGCGATAAACCCTAAACCCTAATAAACCCTAAACCCTAAACCCTAAACCCTAAACCCTAAACCCTAAACCCTAAACCGTCAGCTTTGCTCTGGTTGGCAATCCTCGGGTTTGTAGCTGTAATTACATGAACCTTGTCTGACATCCTAGCAATGGTGGTGAATGTGGCGGGGGTGTCTGGCCTCTCTGTTGCGACAGCTCTGAAATGATCGAACCAGGTCATTGCCACTGCTTGCGCTGAATTGTTGAGGATCCATGCCTTGGACATCCCCAACTGCAACATGCCCGGGCACAAAGTACTTTTGCGAAGCTTGACTTGCGGGAGGAGCATGCAATGTCTCGACTGTGTAGCCGCACCAAGAATCTGGCAATCCAGCGCCACTACAGTATGCCGTCAAAAACAAAGTTACAGCTAGCGCACCAATTGAAGCCAAGTTGGCATACTTCTTCGCCATCGCATGTGCGGTTTTCCCCTTCTCCAGCCAGTCTCGCCACCAGCGAAACCAGCTGGCTGCGACAGCGCGGCTGACATTTCCCAGTGCAGCTGCATATTTCTGGGCCACCTGGTCCTGCATCACTCATGACAATCTGGGATTTCGGATCTCCTACCAAGGTCAATGACGCGGTGCTTAGATGCACTTGGTCACTTGGCGTCACTTTTGGTGGGCGTCAGTCCGCTCGGCGTCTCCGCTGGCCGCGCTGACTCTGCCACTGGAACCATCGTAGTGCCCAACTCACGGCCACGGCTCTGGAGCCCATCTGCGCCATCCGGCCCTGCGCTTAGCGCCGCAACGCAGTGCAAAACTCACTCCATGCATGAGCATAATACAGCATCACCGACTTCTGCAGACACTGCACGGAAGCGTGGCGCCCATGTCCCTTGTGCATGTGTCAGGAGCAAAAGTGCCCCATGTCACCGCTGCTGAGGCACAGCGTAGATCAGAAAGCGCGCCACATCCTGGAATGCAAGTGTCGGCATCGTTCACGAGTGCAGCAAGCTTTTAGGCGCTGTATGTGCTTTCTGCTGCAAAGTAGCATACCGTTGCCGATTGAGTTCGAACCATCTCAGTGCCTTTAACTGGGTGGCTGGTACGACATGATTGCACTGGACCATGTTCGATTCTTGGTCTTCTAGTGATACAGCAACAAAGTCACGTGCAGGAGGCCTCTTATGCAAAGCTACGCTATCATGCGGTATCCTTGCCTCGTTTCGATACCTTCCTACTCACACACATCACATGAGAAAACTAATTACTCAATCACTCTGCAATCAAAGCGGAGATGGCCAAGTGCAGCGGAAGCACCCAGGTTGCACACACCAGGTAGTTGCTCACCTCAGCTTTTTCCGAAGCGAGATGGGCGACAATGGTGTGCCGTTTCAAAACTCCAGTGAGGTCGTCACAGGCCTGGCCACGTCCCCATTCTGCCCACGTGATGGCAACTAATTACCAAACAAAGCTAGACAACCTGGCAACACACTTTCCGAGTCATGAGCGATGCTTCTGCTGCTTACTCAATCATTAGTGCATGCCAAGCTGACAATCCCGCCGGGCTTTCTGGAAGCTGCATGCTGCCTGAGCGTGTATATCATATTAGGGGCGAGACACTGCTTTCGCGCCGTGCAAGATGACACCTTCCTCCCTGCAAAGCCCAGACCTAGGATGATCTGGGCTGCAGGCGTGCGGGCAACATACAGGGCTGCCTGTCTTGCGATGTGCACCTGCACCATGTGATCAGGAACGCAGGATGATCACCGGTCTGACTTTGGATGTGTGGCCTTCCGGTAAACCTCGAACCAGCGCACCACCCAGAAGGCGGCTTCAAGCAAATGGCTCCTTGGATCTACACGAGCAATTGCGAGCGGTTTGAGGAGTTCTCATGACGACGTTTTCAGCAGATCATGGATTTCCAAACAGGTAGGTACAGTAGGCAATGGCAGGCGTCACCGCGCTGGAGGCGTTGTCCACAGCGTGATGCTTCCGTGCGGCGGCCAGCGCCAATGAACGTGCGTGGCTAAGGCGTCTGTGCAGTTCGAACCATCGCGCTGCCCATGCAGCCGTGCGCCAGGTCTCCTGCGCACAAGCGCTTTGTCATCGTTTGCCCCGTGCCATACTCCAACTTTTCAAGAATCAACTCGCATCCAGGCATTACTTTGCCCAAGCCGCATTGCCGAGGCTACCCAGCCGAAGCTTGAAGGCTCTTGCAAAACCAGGCCGAGGGCAATGGACCTTTTCCCGCCTTATTCTACAAAGAGCAGCCTGTATAAGCCTTACAAGTAGGCAGGGTTGATACCGTGTTCCCGCATGAATCTAACAGCATCCAAGTCTCGACAGCTGAAACCAAGCTAAGGCAACGAGGATGGTCGTCGGATCCTTGTTCTGTGATGGGCACTCGATTTAGTTCTGTGGCAGGATACTGTGGCATGCCAGGACGCACATAGGGTCAGCCGACGCGACACACGGCTCGCAAATCGATGCTGAAGCATGGCCTGCCCCGCACGAAATCTCATCCAAGTGTTAGCTTAGGCTAAGCCACTCTGTGCGTTCAAAAGCTTGAGGGGCGAACGCTTGAGGCACCAAAGCCGTCATCGTCATCTTGACTGTCATTGTCTGTGGCCCTGAGGCACGAGAGGCGGTGAACATTCGCTGCTGATCAATGTGAGTGGCCTGCTCCTGGACGGGGAAGTCTTGTGTGGAGCCTCCTGAAGCGCACAAGCGTTTGGAAGTTCAAGAGGCTGTTCAATGATGCACAATTTATGCACAGAGCCATGGCCGTGCCTGTGCCTGCGGCAAGGCAAAGGGCTCCTGAGACTGAAAATCTGGTCTCAAACCGACCTTCCGATGGTGGCTGAAGAGCTTTGGATTTCTGGCGACTGCTCAGTAGAAGGCCAGGTGACCGTGTTGGGGACTTCGGACTTCTCACTAGACACCACAGCCATCATCTGCGACGCGTCCGAGGAAGAGTCCAGCTGTGCCTCAGGCACTTCGGCGAAGACTGTGTTATGTTGTCGCTTCATTCGTTGCTGATTGCTCGAAGATGGCAAGGGGGTTGTTGGAATCTCGGGCTTGGAGGAGTCTCCGAATGATGGCAGCAGCAACTAGTGGAAAGGCGGGAGAGACCAGAGTCTGTACAGAAGTCTCAGAGGGTCTCAGTTTGTGACGGTGCCAGGGCGGTGTCGCTCAGCTGTTTCACACTCACAACATGAGCCGACCCTGGCTTGCACGCAAGCTTTCCCAATCTGCCAAGAAGCCCAATCCCTGGAGCTGGAGGTCTGGACATCAGGTGCACCCCCCGATTCTTCTGGCATCTCGAGCAATGTTGCAGAACCTCTCTGTGCAGCTTGTGGTTGAGCAGCATCCAGAGAGTTCACCTCGACACACTTCTGGCAACATGAGTTCGCCTGCAGGCTAACAAGCGAAGCTGACACCATGAATCAACATTCTGTTGAGTTTTTCTGTGTGTGTACAGCCAGGGCACTGTGGGGTCCACTGGTTCAATTGCTCTCTCCGACTCCTGTGGTGCTCGAACATGTGTCTCTGCCTAGGCTGGAGCCATATGGGAGGCTTGCTGCTCAGCTGGCTCAGCTGTTTCACACTCACAACATGAGCCGACCCTGGCTTGCACGCAAGCTTTCCCAATCTGCCAAGGAGCCCCATCCCTGGAGCTGGAGGTCTGGACATCAGGTGCACCCCCGGATTCTTCTGGCATCTCGAGCAATGTTGTAGAACCTCTCTGTGCAGCTTGTGGTTGAGCAGCATCCAGAGAGTTCACCTCGACACACTTCTGGCAACATGAGTTCGCCTGCAGGCTAACAAGCGAAGCTGACACCATGAATCAACATTCTGTTGAGTTTTTCTGTGTGTGTACAGCCAGGGCACTGTGGGGTCCACTGGTTCAATTGCTCTCTCCGACTCCTGTGGTGCTCGAACATGTGTCTCTGCCTAGGCTGGAGCCATATGGGAGGCTTGCTGCTCAGCTGGCTCAGCTGTTTCACACTCACAACATGAGCCGACCCTGGCTTGCACGCAAGCTTTCCCAATCTGCCAAGGAGCCCCATCCCTGGAGCTGGAGGTCTGGACATCAGGTGCACCCCCGGATTCTTCTGGCATCTCGAGCAATGTTGTAGAACCTCTCTGTGCAGCTTGTGGTTGAGCAGCATCCAGAGAGTTCACCTCGACACACTTCTGGCAACATGAGTTCGCCTGCAGGCTAACAAGCGAAGCTGACACCATGAATCAACATTCTGTTGAGTTTTTCTGTGTGTGTACAGCCAGGGCACTGTGGGGTCCACTGGTTCAATTGCTCTCTCCGACTCCTGTGGTGCTCGAACATGTGTCTCTGCCTAGGCTGGAGCCATATGGGAGGCTTGCTGCTCAGCTGGCTCAGCTGTTTCACACTCACAACATGAGCCGACCCTGGCTTGCACGCAAGCTTTCCCAATCTGCCAAGGAGCCCCATCCCTGGAGCTGGAGGTCTGGACATCAGGTGCACCCCCGGATTCTTCTGGCATCTCGAGCAATGTTGTAGAACCTCTCTGTGCAGCTTGTGGTTGAGCAGCATCCAGAGAGTTCACCTCGACACACTTCTGGCAACATGAGTTCGCCTGCAGGCTAACAAGCGAAGCTGACACCATGAATCAACATTCTGTTGAGTTTTTCTGTGTGTGTACAGCCAGGGCACTGTGGGGTCCACTGGTTCAATTGCTCTCTCCGACTCCTGTGGTGCTCGAACATGTGTCTCTGCCTAGGCTGGAGCCATATGGGAGGCTTGCTGCTCAGCTGGCTCAGCTGTTTCACACTAACAACATGAGCCGACCCTGGCTTGCACGCAAGCTTTCCCAATCTGCCAAGGAGCCCCATCCCTGGAGCTGGAGGTCTGGACATCAGGTGCACGCCCCGATTCTTCGGGCATCTCGAGCAATGTTGCAGAACCTCTCTGTGCAGCCTGGGTGGAGCAGCGTCAGGCAATGCACATGATGCCTTACATCGCCGCTTGCGAAGCCTAAAACCACACTCTCTCAGTGCCACACACCCTCACACAAAACAAGCTAGCCGATCCTTTCAAGCACCTAGGGAACGTGGAACCTGTCCCAATTCACCAAAAGAGCCTCGTCCCGAGAGAAGCTGGAGGCCGGTACATCGGGCAGACCTGCTGCAGCAATCTCTCGCCCTGTTGAAGGCTGTGGCTTGGCAGAGAAGGATTCGACCTCAGCACAAAGCTGGGATCAGTTGCACCCTGCTCCCCTCCCAGCACATACAACTGCTGCCGCCAGGGCACACTTGGGTTTCTCCGCTGCGCTGCTTGCTCCGATATCTCTGCTGGTCGGGCAGCTGGTCCGACATGGACAGCTTGCTCCTCAACTCTTGCAAGCATACCTGGACCTGACAAAGCCATACTAGTGAGATTGTATACGCATCTTGCGAGCCTACATGTGTGTAATACTTACCTTACTTCGCATCTGCCAAGGTGCAGTGAGGACTGCATCGACGGGAAAGGAAGCCCCTTCCGTGACCTGAACAACCCAAGTCGGCCAATCATGATCAGAGTCAGAAACCCTGCAGCGCACCGAGGTAGAGTCACGGCACTGCTTCGGAAATATTTGGTGCACCCTCAGCGAGCGGACCCCTTCAGCCTAGAAACAAATTCCTGTACTTTCAGCAGCCCCGCACAAATGCGAAATTCGCCACTCAATTTGACAGCCCGCGATTTCTTCATTTGGGGAAGTTTTCCCCCCTCAAATAAGAAAGGGCGGCCGGGGAGGTTGGGGGGGGGGGCGGGTCGCTCACTCAAAATGCTTGTCTAATTTCTTCAGCTGAGGAGTTAGGGGGTTTAATTTGGGGGGTTGAGGGTCTGGATTTCTTATTCGAACTGGCGAATTTAGGAAATTGATTTAGAAATCGAAGGTGCCCTCCATTTTGAGGTGCCTGTCGAGAAAAACAAAGTTGCTTTGCAAGAAATTGAGGGTACTCACATCAAAAAGTTGGAGGTTTTGTCACTGTACTTGTCAATGTTTCAGTGCACATGCTCGGTGCAACTCAAATCAGTACTTGCAAGGGTTGATCGGAACGTGTTGGGAGTGCATGCCTTGACCACAGCATCCCCGGCAATGGTTCTATGAGGGTTGAGTCCCAGGAGTCCGCACACCTTTTCAGGTTTTATGATCATATTATGGCTCTTTTGCTATATTTTTATACGACCTGTCATTAGTACATCATTGTAGTTTGCATTGATATATTTATACTATCGCCAACGGTACCTCAGGCGGTCTTTCAACATTCACGACGACCCGGGCCAGCCCACCATTCCACACAGGTTGGTTACACAGAGGCTGTTTCTTATGCTGTCTTTATTCACTTGGCAGAGATCCACAACTGCTACCTGTCGACAGGAAAGATGGCACGCAAGATCCCGGCAGCACGACAAGATGCCCCACGGTCCCTCAGTGAGTGTGCCTCCTCCAAACTAACCTGGGCCTAGACCCCCTCCCCCCATTTGAAGTTTGAGGGTCTGGGAGCTGCTTTTGTATCAAGACATACGGGCACTGCTACATACGGATACCTACGCAAGAAAAAGCTGCGCTAAAACCTGTTGCAGGAGTGTGCAAGTGCTGAAAGCTGCAACGTTTGGCCGTGCATCTTCACCCCAAAACCTTAAATCCTGCCGAACCAGCTTAATTACTGCTGATGCTAATCAGATTCTTCACTAGTTAATAATTCTATTATAACTGAATTCATTGGTAAATATACAAACAATTCTAGGATAATCACACTATCTATTATTAGTACTGATATTAGTAATATGATGAATGGCAACCCCATCCGCTTGGCTAACCTTCCAGAAACCGACAGCACTAAGATCCCACAGCCCTAAAGCCTCAAAGCACTTAGGCCCTTAAACCAGAAAAGCTCAATGCCCTAAACACCTGAAGCCCCCAAAGCCTAAAGATCTGAAACCCTACAGTAATACCTTGAACCCCAATACTAGTACTCTCAGGACCCGCATGTAGCAATTTTTTCGTGCTTTCACTCCAAGCCACGATGTCATGGGAGCCTATTGAGCGCGGTGCCTCTTGAAACGTCATCCCAGGTGCGTCCCCTATGCCCTGCAGAATGTCCAACGACGTGCGCTCCTCGGCCGGTAGTTGGCAGCACGCATAAAAACACTGCTTGAAAGGCTTGCAGATGCTTGCAGATACTTACAGTCTCAACAGCATGTCATTCGGGCGAAGTCCGTTAGCGGCGGAGTCTGGCTCCTTACCTGGAACAAATTCGAGCATGTGCACTGACTGACGGACTGCTTTGGTTATCCTTGGTTGAGCTTCTCTTCGGGCTCTCGCCGCACTACTTGTCGAAGACGATGAAGGCGAAGGTCTGTCGAAGTTAGGCTCTTCTCCCTTCTGCGGTGGAGTCGTTTTGACCTGCGCCACACTGTGTGAGGATCTGGGAAGAGCTTGATTTGCCAAGCGATCAGATCCGGTTGCAGATGGTCGGTGGCCGAACTTCGGAATGGGCCTTGTCGGATTTGTGGGATGTCCCGGATCACTAAATGAAGGCGTTCGGGATCTCGTGGCTGGCAGACGTCTCGTCATCGGCTTTGGCTTTGCTGCTGTTTTCGTCTCTGCTCTCCCGATTGGCACCTGCTTCGCCCTCAGAGCTCGTAGCTCTTCCGCTTTGCCCTCAACAAGTGCTATGCTAGGACTTCTCCCTGACCGAGACGAAGCCCGCGAAGCTTGGGACACGGAGCGACGGGCTCTGGTGCGCAAGCCACTTTCCAGCTCTACTGCCAGCTCCTGCAGCTTCCTGCTAGTGTCAACAGCATCATCAGGCAATGAGTCAGCCTGCTTGACACTCGCCGCACTCGCCTTGGCCTTGGGCTTGGCAGCCCCAAATTTCATGATGCCACTGAAGGTGTTCAATGAGGTTCAACGGACTCTCCCTGAGCAAACCGCAAGACGAGAGAAGCATCACTCTTTCACCTCGTCAGGGGATAGGATGTGACTCAGCTGCCATGGCCCACAGGAACACCACACTGGAGACTAAAACCTCTGAGGTCATTTCGTCTACGTAACAAGCAATGTGCGGCAAGCATATCCCTAGTACATGGCATTGACCAACATGCGAAAGCGCATGTACTGCACTTAAATGACTTTGCGTCGATCATTGGCTCCGGCTTCAAACCATGGTACGCTGTGCAGCGATTCGTATCCGAGCAGCGTGCGAAAAACACGTGCCGACTGCATGCGCCGAAGATCTGTACGCTCGGGCAGTGGTATTGTTTTGATTGAGACCTTGCCACTGAAGGGTGAAACGTGGTGAAACAGCGTGATGCCAACAGACATGTTCTACTAAGCTACGCCCGAGCGCGCTATCAGCAAGTCAGTGCGTAAACTGCGTATGCAGTCCTGCGACCAGTGGCTTTGACGGCATATGTGGGACATGCATCACCCTCGTAAACTATTCGCAGCCACTGCTCTGGCCTTTCGTCGACTCGTACATGCCTGGTCCCACCTGAGCCAGGCAGAGTCGCCACTCTCTGCCATCCTAAGAGAACACTACCGAAGTCATGACTGTCATAATTTCTCCGGAAGATCAGTTGCCAAGATTAGAGTCACTTGCATTCCCCTTAATGTGCCGAAATAGAGTTCGTTTCATGAACGGCTTCCGTTAAGTTAGGCCGTCTAGAGCCTGATCTCCGGCTTGCAATTGGCCGAGTTTCAAGCAAACATGGATGTGAGAGCGGTGTTTCCCAAAACTGTCCCAGACATTGTCGCCAAGCACAAAGCAGAATAAAAATCCTGTGCGCATTGTTTCAGCAAAGCTGACCGAGAGTGGTTCACTTCAGCATATCGCTGGCTCGGAGGGTCGAACTTACTTGGTTAGATGATTTGATGCAATCCTGACCAAGCCCCAGACTTAGAATTTCAAATCTGCAAACATCGTTTCAATTCTAGAAGTGGCTCAGAATCTAGAGTCTTGGAGCCTACCCTTGAACCGAATAAGTAGAGGGAGGTACCAAGTCCGTTTCACAGGCCGTTGGCCTCTACCTAGTCAGCCGCCCCCCCCCCCCCCCCCACTACGGCAACATCGTTTCCGATCAGTTCTACCTAAGCCCTTTTTCACAAGGGACTCGACTGCGACTACCTAAGCCCTAAAACCCTAAACCCTAAACCCTCAACCCTAAAATCGCGCTGATCGTCCAAAGCCAACCGAAACAGGGGGGGTCGCCTCAGGTGGGCTGCTGAGCTCGACTTGAAGAGGGTACCTGGCTTGCATTGTAGAGCTTGCGACAGCAATCAACGACAAGGTGACAAGGGACATTAAGGCAGGCTTTTCTATTCCGTGACAATCCTGCGTGCTGATGGGCCCCAGGATTGGACTCTGAATGGATCCATGTCCAGAAGATGCTGAAATCTGAGGGGTCACTTCCTTGCATTCTCCTTGCCGAATCTCCACCTGGAATCACAACAACTTATAAACATGTTCCATGCTCCATGGCCTTGTTTGGCATGCGTCTAAAGGCAGCGACGCTGGCTTGTTTTGGTGGTGGCTGATGATGGCCAAGTCCTTCCGACGCCAGGACACTGAGTTTCGTGGCTGAGGGCAGGTGCTGCTGTGTATCTGCCGTCCTTGGACACTCTGTCCCAGGCATGGTCTGGCCCAGTGTAGCCAGGGCCATTCAGTGAAGGGCCCACAATCTGACCACGAAGGAATGCAGACTTGCAGTGAACATGCCCCAGTCAGGTCCAGTCAAGTTCAAGGGGGTCAGAGTTAAAGCGTGCCTTTGCGGCGGGCTTCTTCAGACCGAAGACGTACGAGGGCGACTGGCAAGAGTGCTCGGCAAACGGACAATCTTCGCCGCAACATGCTCAGCCAAGCTAAGGAAGGCTTGGCTGCAAGACACATCCGTCACAGGAACCCACGCATGACGAGCAACTGCCACCAGCTTGGCCTAGCCAATTAGAATTCTGCCGAGGCCTATTCCACCCACCCTGCAGCCCAGCCATGCACCCAACATTGACATATTGGCAAAGCTCTTTGACGATACACCAACCTTTCCCAACTCACAACTCCCATCTATGTACAAGCAGCTCAAATGGGCGAGCCTTCTTGAGCAATCGTGACTGCTCTTCATGGCCTGCCATCCACTGTCCAGTTCCGAAGCACTAGCCGGCGGGAGTCTCACAGCATTGTCAGCTGTCAGCAGATTGTTAGCACAAGTGCAGTACATCAGTGCATCCTTCGGCACTGCTAGAGCTAGCCCAGAAAATCTTTCGAAGTCTTCTCACGGTGATCCTAGGACTTTGCCCTGGCCAGAGAGAACGGATTCGAGCTGACGTGCCAGATTGGCTTGTATCAGCGGGCGCTCATGATTGAATCGTTTGAAAGATTGAGGATGCTTGCGGCAGGCTCGTCAAGTTAGACGGAGGTGCATGAGGTGCCTGGCCAAGGTGCAGAATTGTTAGCACCTCCTGCTGGTATCATCTGGTGTCTGTCCACAAGCCCAGCTGGAAGCGCCGGAGCCATGAACACACCGTCTGACTCTATCAGGGAGGGTGGGAAGCGTCTGCCGAGACCCGAGTCCAACGTCGCGGCCGACCAATTCAACAATGTGCAAGCTGCACGTGATCTGTTATGGATGTGACTGCTCGACTTGCAGCTATTCTTGTCAACTGCCCCGGCAAGTCGCTCAATCGCAGAGCTTGCGAGGGGCAACTGGCCACATCTCATAGGAGTGGCTGTGGAGAGGAGGGCTGTTCATGCTATGCTGTGTCCTTTCAACATGGTCCTTGCGCACATCCATCGCTTATGATGCTTATCGTCTTACCTCTTGACAATCTGCAATTTAGCTCCTGCCCCAAAGCCCCCCCCCCCCCCCCGCGCACAAAGGCACACAACTGCTACGTGCCTAAGTATTCGCCTGGCCCAGGACCATCGAAGTGCGAAGAAGACCTAGCGTCACAATCTGAAAGCCTGCAAACCTGATGTAGGTCTACAGCCGGGTCGAGATGACCGAGGCGAACACCGGACGTGACTCAGATCCGTCATCTTTCTGGACTGCCTGGGACAAACAGAGACAGGGTCAACGCATCAGGTTTGCGCCTGGACGCAGTCAATCATGGAATCACCGGGGCAAACGCACATCGCGTCGGTCCTTTGAGTTGCACCAGGTATACCTCGGCGCACCGTGATTCGACCATGCTAATTCAGCTACGAAGCCTTTAGTCGAGGCCAGTACAAGGCCAACTTCTTCTCTCTCTCCAAAGACCGCTCGCGTTGCCCCCCCCCCCCACCAAAACAATATAAAAAACAACCTGTCGCGCTTCGCCTCGGCCCCATCCCAAACCTTGTGATGTCGCGCTTCTGTGAGCTCTTCCGGTCCGAGACGGCACATGCAGGTGCCATGGAAGCCACGCGTAGTAGGGCTTTTCTTACTAGTACACACACAGGTGAGCTAGCTTCCAGTAAAAAGGAACAGCTATTGAGATGCACTACTCAAAAGTCAAGCAGAGAGAGGCTGGATAGCCCAAATTCTGAAGATCGAAACTACATCGCCAAATAGCTCCGAGCACTTCAGCAGCGACCAAGGTTTCGGGCGGTCAATCACCCAAGCCTACCACAAAATGCAATCAACTGTCACAAGGAGGCTTAGGATTTTTGCTGTTTTTTTTTTTTGGGGGGGGGGGGAGGAGGTTTTGTGCTTGGGGGGGCTGGGGGGTGGGCGGTCGTCAGCGAGTGCGAGCACAAGACCGAGAGCGGCGCCCTGGAGCCCGTTTCAAGCCGGGATGGGGCCCGCGAAGGTTGGCCTCCACCACCTCCCAAGTCATCATACATTTTTGGCAACTTCGGTCCATAACTTAGCATGCTTGCGTATGATGTCGTGGAAATCAACATGGGAGAGGTTTTTGTTGCTATGCACTTCCGCACCTCACCCTCGAAGCGCTGGTGGGGCTGGAACTTAGGCAGTTGCGCAAGAAGCTTCTCCGAAAGAAAATGGGCCCCTTCTTTCGGGGAGGAAGGATGGGAGGGGATACCAGAATCGGTGGGCCATTGCATGGCCGACACTTGAGCACCTGAGCAACAGACCTCATCCTTGACCTCCATGCGCTTCAGGCCCAGGCGCCGCTCCTCGGCATCAGGGCACCAGGGTTTAGTCGCTCACTCTCGCACAAGGCAGGCAAGGTCCAGGGTTTAGGGTTTAGGGTTTAGTACTCTGACTCTAGCAGGTACCACGATGTGACTGCAACTCATGGCCTCGCGGTCAGCCCATGCATGAAGTTCGTCTCGTTTCCTGGCAGGTCTGCTTGTGCTGAGATTCTGGGACTGCTCGAACACAATGTCGCTTTGCCACTCTTTGTCGCGTGCCTCCGCTCTGCAATGACTTCCTGTCGGTGCATCATCTCCTTCTGCTCCTGCTCCTGTCCCATTGAAACGTCCCTTAAGCATCAAAAGTTGCACAATTTGCAGCCCGCCACGGAGAGTGGCCACGGCGCGGGGCTAGATTCTCCACGGACGCTTTCACTGTTGCAGCATACTGGAAGGGCAAAGCCTTATACTACAGTAGCCAAAGCTTCTACGCGTGTGGGACCTTGCAAGTCGCCATCTTCAGGTTCTCAATGTCTCAAGCTTCAAACTGAAAGCCCTACCAAGCACACGCTTCTCCGAATCCCCCCGCGACCCACCTGAATGGAAGGGAACTTGCGCGTCTTCTGCACGGCAGCCACTGCCAACTGCGGCGGAATGGTGCAAATGTGACTGAAGCGGTTGGTGCAGTGCCCCTGGGCCATGCAGCGAATGCAGTGCGCCTAGCACTCAACAACCTTTTCTACGCGTCGTGGGCATTGCGACTGCTTTGGCGCAACCGGCCCCGAGATGCGGATTCTTCCTACGGGTTCTTCCTGACTCAAGCTTTGGGGTCTTTCCGCGGCGAGCGCGACCGCGCTGGCTTCTCTGTTTGGACAGCCTCTCCATCCTCCACGGCTAACCAATAAGAAGCAATGAGATGTGTGCAAACAATGGACCGCGATCTGAGCATATCTGGCCCCGGCCGTCCTCCTTGCAAAGCCATGCCACTTTAATGCAGCATCCCTTCCTGACTCTTCGATCGCACGCAAGCGGGCAAGCAATGCAATGCGCAAATGTTCCATGGTCAACAGTTGGATGCCATGTCTCATGTCCCTGCCATTCATGGCCACCAACGCCGCTGAGGCTTCTTCGTATGCCGTGTACTCCAGCATGCAGTAGCCTCTCAGGAGAAGTCACAACGACACTTGCAGCATACAGCTCCATGAGTCTGCTCGCCTGGTGGGGGTCAACATGGCAAGAGCATGAAGCATCAATGCACCCAAGAAGCCTTTAGCCTCCCCGGTCATCCTACAGGCAACTGACTGTTGTTTCTTCTCTGACTCTCTCTTTCTCTCTCTCTCTTCCTCCCTCCCCCTCTCTCCGAGGAAAAGAAGGAGTACACTCGTCGGCTGTGATTCCCTGCTGTCCTGTTCAAGGGGACATGCAGGCTGACAATGGTGCCGAACGGCCGGAAAGCTTCATCCAAATCATCTTCCTCCACCTCGTTGCCACAACCAAATACGCAGCGAGCTGCAACTGCGAAGTATCAGCAACATCACCTGCCTCTCCTGGAAGGCCGGAGATAAACAGACCCCAGCCCTCTCGCGATCTCGCAGGCTTCTCTGATGCGGCGCCAGTGGCCATGGGCAACGCAAATTATGTGCCGGGCTCCTGTTGCGTAAGATATCAGAATCAATTAAGGCAGCTTTGAGCTTTGCAGTGCAGCGGCCCGCCACATTATGCAAAGTGACTGCAACAAGTTCTGCTGTAGATTGGGGCCGGTGACCGGTGATCATGTGAGTGCAGGTCTCTACGTGTATTGGACCGTTAGAACAGTTGTAGTTCGCAGATAGCAACTGCTGCGTGATGGCTGGGCTGACCGATTGAGCATTTGCTCTCAATGCAGAGCAATACCGTGATACCGGCCAGAAGTCCTTTCTCAAAGCGCTGCTACCACGCAGGCTCTCCCGCCTGCTTCTCATCCTCGTATTTGTCAATGTTCCATTGCTTCTGTGCCTGTCTGGCAAGCTTTTCACGCCATGAGGTGGCTGCGGCGCGGCAAGCAGTCACGGCAAGCGGCGCCGGACAAACTACTGCACTAAACAAGCCAGCGTCTCCAAATGGTAGTGATAGTTTGCTAGCCAATGGACGTGGTCCACAATGTCCAGGCCTTTGTAATAGGCGAACCGACAGGGTGTAACGGTTACACAGAAGCTCTGCAGGCGGGCTCGGTGCGGTCGCTTGACATGTGATTGTAAATGTGGTCGCAGATTTGCTTCCAGAATGGCTCCCGTTTGTTAAGCAAACCAGCTCATACCGACGGAGGTTATCATTGCAGCTGTTGCAGCACTGAGCTTGTGACGCGCAAGCTCTGGCATCTCCTTGGCTAACCGCAGCTAGCAGCAAACCCTACGGAAGCACTCAAACATGTTCTTCTCATGTTTTCGCCAGGATGCATGGTACAAGTGCTCGAAGAAATGCTGATTGGGTTTGTGCCTGTGTCAATCAGCCATGACTGCGGGAATGACAATCACCTAACTTCCCCTGTAAAAATGAGCTTCAGGCCCCACGTCCCCTCTCATGTTTAAAAGGCGTTGAAACCAAATTCGAGACTGATGCTGGCTTGGTGTGATGGCTGGTGAAGACTCTGCTAGCCAGTTCGTCTAGAGGAACCTGCAAATGGAACATGAAGTACCGAGTGCTGCACCGGTGTTGCTTCAGGCACTCCATGAACAACTGCAAAGGGGGCATCGAGCGAACGAACGAGACAAGCTACTGAAAAACAACTCAACTACAAACTGCAGGCCTTGTGCTCAGCATACTTCCAGCCACCTGTCCAAGGAGCAGAGCAGGCCACCTTGGAAACACTACGTAAAAGCAAGAAGCTCTTCTGAAGCGATGCAAGCCGAGCCTGTCTGGGACCCACCATGCTCCACAACCTGTGATCGCAGGTCATGATGATCATGATTCTTTTGCCGATCCTGACGGGCCTCCGGGAAGGAAACAGAAGGCAGGGTGTAGTGTCCAGCACCTGGAGTGATCCTCAGCGTGGCAGGCAGATCGAGGTCGGTTCGACACGGACTGGACCTGGCAGCCTGACGCGGTTCCTTTTTTTGGCGCACGCAACGCGACGCAGGCATCACATGGTTAGGCTCTCCAAAAGCATCTGGACGCTTCTAGAGATGGAAAAGTAGAAGCTCAGTTGGCTCTTGGGAAAAGATGTCGGGGCTCTAGTGAGGTTGTTCGGACAGAGGCAACTAAATCAGTGTGTCAGGAATCTGGCCGTGGGCCACGAGCAATCACTATTACAATCAAGCTGCGGTGCTTGGACACGTCTGGGCTAGCCCACTAGAAGCTAAGCGTATATTGAGATCGCACAGCTTTGCCCTAGCAGCGATCTGGGTGGAGTTCCATAGCCTTGCGCCGCAGTTTCAGATTGTGTGGTCGCGGGTCGCGTTCTTAAACTGCTAGATATTACTCTGACAGTCTGCAAGACTCCTTGGCCCTCCCACCGATATAGGTCATAGGTCGGTGCTGCCCAGATGAGCAGAGAACGCTCACTGTACCAGCAGGGCCAGCGCCACCCGAAACTGCAACCGTCTGACCAAGTTTGATCAGATGCTGTGACATGCTACAGCATGCCTTCGTGTTCCACGGCTGCCTCCAAAAGACCTCGGCCCTCTGGACCTGTATCTGGAGATTGAAAACAACAACTTTGGGGCACTTAAACAGAAACTTGCTCAAGGAGGGATCCGGAGATCCGGTTAGCGGTGCCATTTGATCCACTTCTGATCCGGCAGCGATCGCCCGCGGACCCAAATGTTCATCGCATACTTCACCTGCACGTAGCAGGCTGGGCAAAAAAGCAAAACCTGCGCAGGCTGCTTGACGTGTGCGGGCCTGGTTGCCGTTAACGGGAAGTGCTTCGTGCAGAACCTTTGTCTGGGGTATGCCTGCACCGGATTCGGAATCTTCACGCGGTGGTGATGATAGGACTCGAGAGCGGCCCCGCCTGCAGCATCCACGTTGGGCCACACGAGGGCCGAGCCTTTTGTTGGAGTGACTTCCAGCTTCAACTCCGGAAAGGAGGTCTCGCCGCCAGCACCTTCCGAATTGAATGGGCACACCGGGCATTTCGGGAGGCACTGTAGAGTTCTGCAGATCCTACTGTTTGGAAAAGCCTCCCGGCACAGTGTTCAGGTACACGAGCATCGTTGCCTGTCAGTATGCTCGTGTTCTCCAAAATGAAGCCCCGTAGCCACAACAGTCAGCTGCAAGCAGGCATGCATCGTTTGTCCAAGATGCCATGCGCTGACCAAAAGCCCAGAGTCCAGGGTCCTTCTCACCAATCCAGTCCACATGCTTTCCTGGTGCGACCATGCAATGGAGAAGCGGCTCACTTGCTCTTGGCCGTTACGGTCGCCCTTCATGAGCAGGCATAGGGCCAAGTTCTACACACAGCATGTCGGATCAAGCTTCCAAACTTCTGCCCTGGCGTGTAGCGGACCAGCTGTAGCGGCTCAATGAAGTCTTCTGGAACTTGCAGCGTGCGGGCTGCCCACTCCCGCACAGCTCTGACCTGAAGGGGGGCTTTGACCAAGGCAGGACCCAAGAAGACCGGACATGAGTCGACCGTGTTGCACAAGCAATCGGCGCTTGAAGTTCGCAATGCCCAACACCAACAAGCAAGGCGACCCAACTTTCCTAGAGCAACCTCACGAACTTGCCAAGTGGCTGATGGATGCTTCTCGTGCCACGCGAGGAGGGCTGTCGAAGAAGTACGGGAGGAGCGTAAAATCTTCTGACGAGTGGCCTTGTCGTTGTTTGCGATGAGCTGACCTGCTTGCCAACTGTTTCCAAACCCCCTTTATGCAAGGCCTTTGGGTCTGATGCATTCTGATCCTGGATACTGACAAACTAAGTCTTGCAGCTTTGTAAGTGGCTTGCTGGAGTTCATCCACAGCTTCTGCGAGTCCGCGAGTTGCAGCAGCGCGTCGCAGTGCTTGGCAGGGACCGCCTACACAACATGTTGCTGGATCTGGCTTCCGCAGGTTGGGTTCAGGGAAATGGCTTTATTGCCATTCGTGCTGGGGTGAGCGGTTCATGGGCCAGCATTTTACTAAAGCATTTTGGGCAGTCTGTGTTCTGGCTTTGAGCCTCTGCCGTGGGGCTTCTTGTGGCCCGTTTTCCTGCAAAAAGTCTGCCGCAAGGTTTGTGTAGCTTCCGGAAGGCGGCAAAATCAAATCCGGCTTTGAGCCATCTGGTTCCAAAAAAGCTTGAGACAGCTTGAGATCAGTAGCTGCTTTTCGATATGCCGGAGGGAAACCCATGGAAACGAATGTGCAAGACACTTTTGCTCGATCACAACATCTCAAAACTAGGCACGATGGCGGTATCCTGAGCATCGCTCTCCGAGACAGAAGAGGCAGGCGAGGGAGACGATGGAGAGACACATCATGTCAACAAACAAGAACAAGCTCTCCAAAGACGCACGCTGACACGTCCAGCCTCGGGCAGAAGCAACACCGGCAAAGGATCTTCCAATAAAGTCTTTGCATTGGACTTCGTGCCGGACATGCCTCACTGAGCTGAATGATCATAAAGGCTGCTACTTCATATGCTGTCTGCCATCTCCTGTCTCCTGCAGTACAACTTTCGCAGTCCAGACACCTGTGATTGTTCCCCAAAACTTTGACGCAACACTCGTCTCCACCTTTGGCGAGGGCTTCCCGAACCTTAGCAGATACAGCTACAATACTGCAGCTTCCTTGCTGCTGCCGCTCTAGCAGCTCTAGCAAACGCACAGGAGACAGATTCGAGGCATGAATTACGGAACAGGACCAGCCAGAGTCGGCCAGCTTGCTGACTGGGGGCAGTTTGGTGCACGGCTGCTGAGCACGACTGCAGGACCAAGCAAAGGCACGCTTCTGCTCTTCCGTGGCCTTCCTTATTCAGTGTATTCAACTGCGGCAAGGCCCAGGCCGGAGACAAATGCCAGTCTGCGCGAATCTATCCAAGCATCCCCTTGCAGAAGCCCATGGCCACCTGCAGGACAGTGAAGAGGTCCGGCTGCTGCCACTGAACCCAGGCCTCACTGTGCCAACAGCCAACAGCAAAGTTCGAGAGCTGCTTGGCTTGGTTCGAACAATTCTGGAGTCCGAAGGGTCTGACGGAACGCATTGCCTGGGTACGTTGTTGCCTTCCACAACATGTGCCAAGGGACAAAGCCGAATGCGAGTTCTGCCAGCGCCCGCGGGTGTGTTTCGATGAGCGCAGCTTCAATGGCAGCTTCTGCCAGCATGTGCCAGACAGACGCCTCAGTTCGACAGCTCCAGCACGTGGGAAGGATCCGCTTGTGTCTTGTCGATGCATTTTGGTAGACATGCCACTGCTCGGATTTCCGAGTACGCCATGGACATCCTGAGCTTGCACATCAGCGGCAACATGCGCACACGATGCATATTCGTCACGTTCTGTGCTATGAAATTTTCCCTGGCATGTGGTGCGATAAGGATGCTCCTGGGTACCGCATCATGAACTGGGATCAGCCAAGTCGCACTAAAAAGCCAAGCTCGGCACCGGACAGTTCTGGAAGGATATCCCTCAAGGCTTGGCCTAGCAGCGAGGCCAGCCATGAATCCTTGGAGTTGGGCCCGAAATGATTCAGCATACTGACCATGCTCGTCCTTGGCACAGGGATGCCGCAAGGTACTCGAAAGAGACATCTATCATCTACCCTGTTATCCTGACGGAAAAATTGTTGATCCGTTGATCCACGCATGCCTCCGAGTAATGAGCTGGCTGAATGTCAGCCTGGCTGCTCATTGCGTCGCTGCGATGCAATGATCAGCTCCTGAGAGCATCAGATGAGACGAGTTCACAAGGGCAACGGCCACGGGCTCCAGCGCAACATTCAGGTTGTTGGAAGGTGCCATGTGTTAAAATTGGTTCACTGCCATCGATGCTCTAAACGCAACCTGGCATCTTTCTTGAGATCAATCAAGTAGTCTTTGGCAGCCATCTCCAGGCCCTCTTCTACCTACAGTGGCCGAGGTTTGATGCAACAACTCACTGATTTGACAAGCTTGACAAGGGATGGCCTACAATACCCTGACGTTTGGATGGCACGGCCTCCACAAGCATAGGCATGTCGTCGGGCTCCGGTGGTTCCTCTGCCTGCTGCGCCTGCTCCGGCTCCTCCGGCTCTGCCTCCTCTGCTGGGGCTGTGGCTGTCTCCTGCACGGGTGGCTCTTGGGTTGCCACCACAGGTCTCTGCACCGTCACCTCTCGCCCGGCATCCTTAAGGTCAGCAATGCTGCTCAATTTGGAAGTTTTTTGAAATCACTTGTTCCCACATAAGCTCAGATGTTTTGCAACACCGAGAGTCCGAAGATGTTGGTCGAAATCTCAAAGGAATAAAGGCGTAGGAGCTGAGTTGTTGCAGCAGGGCCTCAGCGACATCGCCCACCCCTCGCAGTCCAAGACGCACGCTATTCACTACAGCTGCACCTGTCTTCTAGCAGAAGCTGTGCAAACTGATTCAGAACTCAGCCAGACACTAGGAGAACCAGAGCCTTCGCAGCTCTTCGAAATCGTAGCAGCATTGCTGAATCCATTTTCTTTGCTGAATCCATTTGGATTTGCAAATGGCAGATTAGAAGAACTTGGAGAGTCAGTCTGTGGTGCAGTGAGTTGTGTGTTGTGTTGTAAGTCATGATGGCGAGGATCATGGCATGATAATCGTGGTACGGGTACCAGTCTCGTAAACATGAGCTGAATGAAAGCTGGTCTTTAAGCCCGGCAGCGAGGCGTGCAAGACATGCCACTTGCTGCACAGAGTGTACATCCTGCCTAAGTTAAGAGTGCAGCGATGCTGCCAGGGAGCACAGATTGACCCCGTGATGCCTCAAAAAGCTTGTGGTTTCCTTCCTAAGGGTGGCACTCTCCTTCGGTCCCGTATTCAGCATCGCGAACTTGCAGCACAGGAACCTGATCTTGAGAAGCAGCACAATGATACAGTGATGAAAACACCAAGGACAACTTGAGGTAGGCCTTGAATTTGCCCTTCTTGTGTATGGGCCTGAGGGTCAGTGACGGATATCAAAAAAAAGCTGAGCCCTTTCGCAGCAGGGGCCTCCCAAAGGAGTAGCTCGCACTTCCATGAACACCCGATGTTAACTGGAGAGGCTTGGCCTTGGTGACACGATGGCAGTGCTCCAAGTACTTGGAGGTTCATGGTACTTCTTAACCAATTATAACTGTGCTTATAACTCTACTTATAACCGTATTAGGGCACTTAAGGGGCTCATAATCCCTTCCCCCTAATATTAAACGGGCCCCCCCGCCCCCCCCCAAATGGAAACTGCAAAGTGTTTTTATACTTAGGGAGGGTTTTTATCCAAATGTCCTTAACCCTAAGCCCTAAACCCTTAACCCTAGACCCCCAACCCTAAACCCTCTGAGGGTTTTATTGGTGTTGAGGGATTTATTGGAGGCCTGAACCCCCCCCCCCTTAATTCGGAATAGGGTTTAAAAGGCGGGCTCGGTTTCGGGAGGATTTTCCGGAATGTGTTTTTGTTATTAGGGGGGCGTTTAGTAAAAGGGGGAAGGGATTAAGGGGTTATAAGCACAGTTATAATTGGTTAAGAAGTACCATGAACCTCCAAGCAGAGAAGACGGCAGCAATCACTGTTTTCTCCACAGCATTCCTGCGTTAGGACGCCGGGATATAACGCGCAACCCACGTCTGCAGCATGTGTTATGCGCAGGCAACGTAGACCCGCATCTTCTCTTTCCAGTTGCCCTCTTTGAGAAGGCGCACCGTCACCTTCATGCCCTTGTAAACCTCAAAATGGCAGCCAATTAAGCCCAGAAGCTTAAACTTAAGATATTGATGTTCCCTGCTCTCGTACAAACTCATGTTTCTGGGGGCCTGGCGCTGTCTATTAGCTCTTGCGTCATCTTGGACTTGTGCAGAAGGGCTTCTATCATTTGGCTCCCAGGGACCTGGACTTTGACCTGACAAGTGTAGTCTCAGCATTCTGAAATCTCTGAAATCCAGGAACTTGGACTTTTTGGAGCCAAGTGCAGTTGGGAGGCAAACACGCCGAATTGCACAATTCCCACCACTTCAGCTTCGATGTCGTCGCTCTCGGTAAGCTTGTCGAAAGCAGCGATGTCCGACTCCTAGACCGCAGGGACAGCGACGACAACTGCCACAGCAACATTTGCGGGCCACATCCTCCCAAAAAAACGCGGCCAATTCCTACCTCCGCATGGTCATTGCTACCATTCCATGAGAAAATCGGAGCAATCTGAGACCGGCCACAGCCAAATCTCCTAGCAAAAGGGAACATGTTTGAACCACTGCTCCTGAATGTCCGGTCTTTGGAACGGCGGTGGTCTTTCTAACGGTCCTCCAAGGCAGTAGGTCAGCAGGTGGTGAGACGGGTGGCAAGGGTGCGCGCCGATCCACACTCGCACAGATTTTGGCAAGCTTGTTGATGAGAAGTGGATACAGAGGCACCCTCCTGCTTTGTCTTACAGGCCTAAACCTAAGGTCCAGAGTCTATCTAATAGGCTATCTTGCATTCTGACACCAAAGCTTACTCAACATAAATCTGCTGAGGCCCGTGATTTTTGAGCTGACCACTGTCGGGCGCACTGCAGGGCACATTCGGGGAGTGAGCAAAACGTCACGCTGCGCCACTAAACTCAGCAAAGCACTCACTCCGCATGCGCTGGCATGACTTTCCACCTGAGGCCCGCTAAGAAATTTGGTATCGGCAGTGTACGGCATGCACTTCGACAAAAAGGTGCGAGCATGCCCAGGGATGCAGTATCGCTATACTCGCTACACATTGCATGGGGATTTAGAGGGGGGGGGGGAGGGGGGTTGAGAAATATGCCAACGTCAAAAGTGAGCCCGAATGAAAAGGCAGAGCCTTCCGAGTTTCCAAGCATCACCCGGCGAAATCCGAGGATCTGATTTAAGGCCACTGGGAATCGAAGACAAGGAGATGCTTTTTCAAACGCAGCCCCAAAACCCTCCTGGGCTGCGCTCTTTTTTTTAAGGGGGGCCATTAATGACTAATAAGATCCTCGGACTGTGCCGCCAGCTTTTGTGACTCGGCTCAGAGCAAGTGTTCCTTCGCAAGCGCCGAGCACAGGGGGTTCCGCACGCAGTTTGCGTTCATCCGTGCGACCATGCGCGCATATTTAATTAACATGGCAGCTGAATGCCGAAGCCAACTGAGCCCAGCAACTGCGCAGTTGCTCTTGTGCTTATGTGCCTTCATTGACTTTTGCATGCCACTAGGCACATCAGCAGGTTGGGCCACCGTGCCTGAACGGCATGTCAAGAAGACTTTGCCGTCCTCGTCGATATTCAAAACTCGAACGGCGATCTGAGCTCGGCGAGGTTCACGCTTTTGCTGTCATTCTTTGCAGCTCTGCAGGTCAAGCAAATGCAGTTGCTTCCAAGACACAGGCTCATTCAGCACAAAGGGCTGCTCCATAGGGAAGCCATCCCGCCATTCACTAGTGTGCAAAAGTCCATCTCTGGGGGCGCCCATGTTAATGAACACGCCTCGAAACAGCATGTAGCACTGTAATTCGGACTAGTCGTCGACACGTTTGGCTTTGACGTGAATGCAGAATGCACAGAGAATGTCGAATGAGTGGCCGTTTTTGAAATAGCTGCCGCGAACTCCTTGAAGCTCCATGCCGACCTGCAGAAGATGCAAGCTTGGAAGACACTTAGTAAGGGGCAGGACCCAGCCACGGAAAGCTAGCTGCATGAAGGCAGCAGCCAGGCAGGAAGGAAGGAGGACAACAGACAGACACTAGGTCACTAGGTCCTCACTAGGTGAAAAGGCAGGAGAAACTGGGCTGCACGAGGAAGAAGGCTCATCGAGGCGACACTTGGGGTGGGCGCGTCCACAGCCGCCATTTGCAAACACCATGATGGGAGAACACTCACTTCTTTGGAAACGCAGCATTAAGCGCACAGCCTTAGCCTCCCACTGACCCACTCTCCCACAGGTACTTTGTATACCAGCTCATGCTCTGCCCGCCTGCCTGCAACTATGGAAGAGAGGGGAGGGGCGGGTGGGTGGGTGGGTGGGTGGGTGGGGTCTGAATATGAAGTGAACACTAATCCGCTTTGTTGTTCTGTATCTGTCAGCAAAGAAAAACATGCAGCATATCTATCTTGTCTTTGTTCGTATAGTGGTTGTGGTTGCGAATGCGGTTGGGGTGGCGGTGGCGGTGGCGGCGGCGGCGGCGGGGGCGGGGGCAGGGGCAGGGGTGGTGGTGCTGCTATTGCATTTGTTGTCTGTCTTTGCTGCTGCTGCTGCTGCCGCCGCCGCCGCCGCCGCTGACGCTGCAGCTGACGCTGCAGCTACCACTGCTGCGGCTGCCGCTGCCGCTGCCGCTGCTGCCGCCGCTGCTGCCGCCGCTGCTGCCGCTGCCGCCGCTGCTGCCTCTGCCGCCGCTTCCGCCGCCGCCACCGCTGCTGCCGCTGCTGCCGCTGCCGCCGCTGTTGCCGCCGCCGACGCCGCCGACGCTGCTGCTGCTTCTGCTGTTCTTGTTGTTGCTGTTGTCGCGCATGCCGTGTTTCCGAAGAATTCAGAGGACACTTCGCTACAATTATGAAAGCCTCTTTTTCGTGCCCTATATGTCTTGTATTTCCAGAAGGCTAGAAGACAAACTCTATTCCCTCTCTATGCCAAACGAGAACTTTTGTCAACCTGTTTCCTTACATTTTCCGAAGAGAACTCTTCCTCTCCACTGCCATAGGAATAACTCCTTTACGCATTCTGCCAGGCATGTACGATTAAGCAGAACCGGTCGCAGCTGCCTCCCATCAGAACAATAGAACAATCTGCCGGCGCTAAGTTTGACACTGCAGTCTGCTAATTGATCGCGACAGCCTTGAGATCCTGCATGTCGATCTTCGGCGGAAGCCTTGCGCTGCAAGAATTCCGTCTCTGCAGGACCCAAGCTCCCAATCTGCCATCTGAGGTGCCAAGTCTCACCTTCTGCGGCATGGCGGGGTACTGCCGAGTTGGAGGAAGATGACGTCCACACTCGAGATGAGCCAGTGAATGCCTAGGATTGTTCGTGGGTGCGTGGTCTTCTGGGCGTTTCAGTTTAGAATCATTAGAATCACATCAGAATCCGCAAATGACGAGCAACTTGCAGACCGCGCAAGCTGTGCAGGAGCCATCCGCAGCCGATCACGGCAGCAAGCCGCCGCAAACAGCCAGCTCTCCTTTGGCTGACTGCCATTGTCATGCAGGTGTATGACACCTCGACATCGGAGCCAAATGTGCGGGGAGTATACCTGTGAAAATGGCAGCGCCCCAGCGCAGCCCTCTTGGAGGCAGGACAAGAACAGAAGAAAGAACAGCGGAAACCTGTGGAAACGTGGTAGAAACAGGTTTCAAAGCTTCCCAGATGAGACCCTGACAAGCTCTGGCGCGGAGGCAGACTGCCCGAGTCGGCCTTCAAAGGCCTTCACTTTTGCGGCATACTGGCGCTGCGCGCGCTCCTTGCTATCACGGAAGAGACAGAAGGAGGAGCGAAAAAGGAGAAGCAAAAACAACCCAAGCCTGGCCATACATAACAGGCAAACAAAGTAAGGCAAGAGAGCGTGGCAAGTTCCTACTTGTCAGGTCCTCTTGGCGGGCTTGGGCAGCCTGAATGAACAACACAAGCCAATGTCAATGAGTCAATGATGAATGAAGGGATTCCCGGCTGAGCCGCGCCTTCTGCTTCGAGATCGCATCTAGAAAAGTGTCCATCGGCCTATGCTTCTCCTTCCGGCGCAGGCATTCGCTACCCACATTTACAAAAATAGCCCAGTGCGAAGAAAGTTTCTGCAACCGGGGCTGCACCGCACTCCGGCCTTGGCTTTCGGAATCGTGTCCAGAAAGTCCGTAACCATGATGCCCGTCTCCTGCAGAAGCTGACTTGAGTTGAGTGCGGCAGGTACCACTCCTCGACCCTTCCTCTTCTTCTTCATAAACCACATTAGCAGCTCGCAAATTTGCGAACGGTCACGAAAGGTTCCAGCAACTTAGGCACTTTGCGCCACCTTTTTCTTTGTGGGCTGCTCTCTGGCCACTGGCCGGATGAAGCCTCACCGCTCGGCGAGGCTCAGCTTGCAGGTCACCTGTGCTGCAGATGTTCAGGGGGCAAGGCCAGCATCGGCAAAAAAGTCAAACTCCCTAAAGCCCTAAGCCCTATTCCTTAAAAAGAAGGCAAGAAAAAGGCTCAAACAGCAAGATCCAAGGCGCATTCATGGCTTGCATCTCTTGAAAGAGCAGTTTACAAGCGTACGGCAGACGAATGCTGGTTACCCATTCCGCGCTGCTGCAGAGTTTGCACCAGTCAGGTCGGCAGAAGAGGCCGCACTTTCCTGGGCACCGACAGACAAAGCCTGTAATCACGTGACTCCAAGAATGCCAAAATATGCCAAACATGGATCCTTACCTCCAAAGGTCCTCAAGCCACGGCTCTGCAGACATTGGGGTTGCAGACATCGCTCGAGAGCATGAGACGCTCGAGCAAGAGGTTGGAAGCACCATAGGCCACCAAGCAATCTCTTTCCATCTCCTGATAAGGATAAGGAGTCTGGCAGACACACCCCCCTTCGCCCAGCTCGGTGTGTAGATCAGCCGTCGCTCTGCTGCCCAGACACTCCCAGTCGCAAGCCTCCTTCTTTGGCACGACCCTCTGTAGGCTGCCGAGTCAGCAACATTCGTGGCCCGCGCGCGCGGGCATGCATCTTGTCCTTCAAGACTTCAGGCTTCAAAAAGCTATTGGCAGTATATGGCTTGCTAGCCCAGGCAGCTCAGCTAAGATGCTGACTACTACCATATGCTTCAGCTTCTGGTAGTAGATTGGGCCACCTGAGATCTTGCACTTGCATGGACACTTGAAGCATCGGATTCTTGGCTTGGATTCTCGCTTTCAGTTTAGTGAAGTACTGGAGGCACTAGACTGCTTCCACATGCAGAACTTCTTTGGGAGGCAGTGCTCAGCACGGCCGAACGAGAAATCGCCGAGGAACAGAAGATGTAGGATTCAATCGGCTCACCCGTAATGCCGCTGGTTAGGTACTCCTTGCCAGTTGGAGCAAAGCCGTGGCTGATGAGGGTCCTCGCACAAATGTCAGCTGGAAAAAGGATTGAAGGACAGGCCGCATGTCCTGTAGATCTCATGAGCAGGAGTCCCGCCAAAAGCAGAGCCATTGGCAAACATGCCTTCCAGAACCGCCGCCTCCACGTGACAGCGTGCAGCTATGCCTCTCATCCGACAGCTTCCGATTCGGCAGCCTTCGACCCGATGAGCTCCAACATCTTCCCCACCGTCATCCGCGAAGGGAAGCCGTGCCTGAATTGGAAAGGGGTAGGAAGGGAAGTAGGGGCTCATTTGCCGGACTTGTTCTGCAACCGGGCTGCGGGTTCATGATGAGGTCAGGCCGCCAGCCCGTTTCCGAAAATGGCAAATCCTGCTCCGGCACGATGAGGCCTATGACTCCCTTCTGCCCATGGCGAGAGGCAAACTTGTCACCTTGGCTACCAAGCTGCTCTTCGACAAGTGCAGGAGCAGCACAAAGAACTGAGGTGTGCACCCACCTCAGGCCTGCGAGTTTGCCGAGTGATGATCTTGTACACCTTCATGCCCTCTGCATCCGTCGTCAGAAGCACACGATCCTAAGAACGGCAACATCCATGTCACGAATGCTGTCGACGGCACCGCAGTCAGCGTCAGCTGAGGCCTCTGGCGATGTAGGAGGAGACAGGGTTTTTGTAGTGCACGGGCGTGGCTTTGTACTTGATGTCGACCGTGGACAAGTCTTGTAGAGCCTTTGTCTCCACCGGGCTGATCCTGGGAGCATGTCTTCGAATGTCTGCCCTGCTTGCACTGTGGACTCTATTTTGACCCGATGTAGAGCAGTCTGGGAGAAACGCACGGCCACAGGGCCAAAAGGAAACTGGCCAAGAGTCTTGTTGGCCAGCAGGAAGCCGTCCTCCACTTTCTCCGAGGGTCTCACCATACCATCCTCATCCAAGGAGCTGAGCTTCGCATTCTTGCCTGGATCGCACGATCACCATTCACGCTGCGGCCCCTGCAAAGTACAGTATGAAATGTGTATGTATTGATGTATGACATTTGTTTTCGTTGTCCAAGCAGCCCTTCCGCTGACCGGCCTGAAGTGAGAGGAGCAGAATGTCGCATGAAGGCTCTCTAATGACTCTGCGCTGCATGCTCGCCAGCCGAGCCTTGCCATGACCTGCTGGTTGAGGCGGCGCCAGCAAATCAGTTGTTCCATTCCCGTGCGTCGTCATCTGAACCTCGGTAGCATCCCCAAGGCTCATGGACTTCCACCACATCACCTATATACGATGTGAGAGGAAAGTACAGGGATGGGCCGCCCCCATCAACAGCATCTCCGAGCGCTGAAGCATGCCAAGACGAGTAGACAACGGCTCTGTCTTTCATCCCTTATGAAAACGACTAGTGCAGCTTGCCTGCTTAGGATTCTACATCTCAGATTCAGGTTTGCATGGCCTTTCGGGATCAATTTATGGGGGGGACACAAACTGGCATGGTATGAGATATCCTGCTTCCTTGACAGGCCAAGTCGTAACAAAGAATCCAAGATCTCCGAACCCGATGCCTGGCAGAAGAAGCCTCGTAAAAATGCTGAGGCAAGGACTCCCTGGCGTCGCATCACAAAGCACCTGTGGGAGTCATCCAACAACATGCGCCGCAAACATGCGCTGCTGAATGCGAGTTGTCTGCCCGGTCCTGCCGAACCCACGATCTAATGCAGCTCTGTTCATGATGATCGCATCCTCAATGTCATAGCCACTGTAGCCTGGAAGCAAAAGTCTCGGCGAAAACAGCACACGTCTTTAGACTTCGCAGTCAGCATGAGAGCTCTCTCAAGGGAGGCTACTTCAGGCGAAAACAACAACACGTGTCTTCAGAAGTCGCAGTCAGCATGGTCTCAAGGTGTGACAGGGAGAGAGCGGTTCACCTTGCCCCGAATATCAGACCAGTGAACCCACCCTCCGGACCCCAGCCTAACCTTCCAGAATCTCCCTGTCACACCTTGAGACCCTGTTAATGCCTTGTCTGAGTAACTTTCATGAGTCTTACCGCTGGAGCTGGAACTAGATGCATGGGTCTTCTGTCTTCATCTCTAAGTCTAGGTACTGGCTTTACATGCGCGAGCTCATTTAATGTACACCCGTAATATAATCGGTCAGGAAAGCACTTCAGGCGACGCAGTCGCTTGATGGAATCAGATACGTTCGGGACATGCTAGCCAGCAGCTTGTGAGGTTACCTGCCGGGTTTCCATGGACTTGGGCCACCAAGAATGACTCAAGACAAGGATTCGGCAGTTGAAATGAAACCACGACGTATATATATATATATACATATATACATATATGCATATATACATATATGTATACACAAACACCTCCAACGTTGCCACCCACGCAGGCATAACGTGAACATCATTCCGGCCCACGTTATTCTTTGTTCGGTGTCGTGGCTGTGCTGTGAGACGCTGTCTGCTTCAGGTTTGCTTGTTCACAAGAAAGCTTGAGGCAACTGTTGAAGCGCAAGTGGCTCATAACTGCCACTGACGCGTTCTGTCCGGCACCCAGCTGATGAAAGTTCACCAAATTCCTCAGAGAAACAGCCATATGGTTGCAAGCAAGTCTTCCTGCTCGAGCAGCAGGAAACCGACCTGCAATACCAGCGATGCTCTGCCAAGGGTCAGTGTCTTGCTGGTACACAGCGGCTTCTCAGGATACACCAGGCCCAGGAGCAGTGTGTCCTGATGTGCGACTACTTGCTTGCCCCTGCAGGCACAAATGACCGAGCCAACGCAGGGTTGTTGAGATCAGTTCGACAAGCTCGCAATTGAAGTTCAGAGCTTTACTCATCCAGGCGGCACTGCGTGTAAACTGGTTCATGGCAATACAGCCCATCGCCTGCTTTCCTGAGCACACTTCTGTCTCGTACTTGTATGGTTCAAGGGGCGCACGCACAACATCTGTTTCGACCATCCGGTCCGTTTAATGCAGAACAAGGTTCCCATGGCGCATTCGTAGGTGTTTCGTGGAGACTGGTTGTGGTTCGGATAAGGGATGAGGCCTGACACCACGCCTGAACATCTGCACGTTTCCATCCAAGTGAAGGCGGAAAGTTCAGTTCTTGGCATGTCTTGGCACTAGAGTCATTATACGCGGATAGATTGCACCACCGAAGACCCCAAACAGTCAAAGGCACGTCAAAGAAACAGTGGAGACGACGGGAGACAAAGGGAGACGAAGGGACGCGAAGGGAGGCGAGGAGCGCAGCAACCCGGCAAAGCCACCCACGTGAAGGACCAGGAGCCCAGGAACCCGCAACAGTCCTCAGAATGTCGGCAATCCTTCAATGGATTTAGAACCCCAACAGTAGACTGTTTCGGGAAGAAGTGGGGTGGGTGCAGCTTTTCACAGGTGGCGAGTGACAATTCCACGATGGTTGTTGTGAGCACTACCCTCGGGGCCGTGGGCAGGCGGGCGTGAGTGTTTGCTCCTAACGTTGACGCTGCTTATTTTTCCCTATACTTCCATGTAGATCAAGACATTTCTGGCTCCAAATGTTGCAAATTACAGCCTTTCAAGGCGTTGGGCAGCTTGAAGAAGTGATGAAATTACTGCAACGCACAGCACTATCCTGGAGGTGCACCGACCAGAGCACAATGTTGCGAGCAACAACGGGAAAAGGCTATTCAAAGCTCGAGATCAACTACCCGAGTTCTTCGGTGGCGACGCATGCTTTAGTTGTCGGAGGCTCCTGAGCGGAAATATGGGTTCCCACAGCGTTATGTCGGCTTTGCTTCTGAATGATTTGGACTACTAATGCCACTAAATAGCTCTTATCATAGCGTAAGGAAAGTTACAGCAGTGACAGGAGGAGTCGGAGGACAAGGGGGTCTGGACAACCAAATGAGGACCAGGGGCACAGGGCAATCGAAGACGACGCTCGAAACCCCCCTGAATCTGAGGTTCACAGACATTGACATCAGCCGAGGCCAGTGGCACCATGAAGCTTACTTAACATCAAGTGTTGGATGGTCAAGAATGGGCTGGTCGACCCGCAGGCGCATGAGCACATTAGCACGAAAGTGATCCAACACACTTCACTGGAACTCTGCTAAACCCTAAAAGCCCCGAACTCTCAACCCAACTCGGCCTAGTAAGGTGAAGGGCTCTATCTCGAGGTGGGTCGTCTCAGGCGTTATCTCATCAGGCTGAAGAGCTATGAACAGATTGTTCTCCTCGTTGACATCAACCTCGAGAAGGGTGCGGAAAGAGCAGCTCAAAGTTGAATCAACGAGAATCTGCAGGTTTTGCGGCAGCCTTCAGGAATGCCTCAATTAGATTACACTGCCCTGTCTGGCACGAAGCCACGCTGCCACCTAGTCAAGTCTCCAAACCATGTCAAACAACCTGAACTCAAGAATCACCGATTTCTTTCATGGTTTGTTTTTTGATACTAGTTTCACGCGGTTGACACAGATACTTTCTCAGAGCGACTTTGTTTCAGACAAAGCACCCACTCGAGCACTCCTTGCTTCAAGAAGTCATCAAACTTCATGCCGCCATCCGCCTTTGCCTTGAGCATCCTGAGCTCGCAGCAAAAATGTCCATGTGCCCAACTTGGGTTTTTTGGGGTTTAGGGCTTAGGGCCTTAGGGCCTTAGGGTTTAGGGTTGTTCCTCCCTATATCACGCGACAGTAGTATTTCTGAAGTTCACGGTCGCGGCACAGTGGGACGTGCTTCTCAGGAATGAAGCGCGATTTGCAGTCTGCCACGATGATCAAAGGCCGGCACAACCGGCCACCATCAGAAGCAACGAAGATTGCATGCCAACCTGGCATGGAGGATGTCGAGATGCCTAGCCGCAAAGGTGCAAAGGGCAGACACTTCCCACCTTCATCCTCATAGATAGAGACGAACTCGCCGATCAGACCGCGTCGGCGCAGCTGCTGCAGACCTTCTTGCTGAGTAGTGGGACCACTACAGTAGCCTGTAACTCTGCTGGCTGCTTGGCCTAGCTGCTATAGTGATCAACTGCCACATGCACCCCAGTATAGGCTCAGTGCTCATTACAGCAGTTCAAAGGCAGAGCTCTTCTTGAATAATTGAAGCGAGCAACTGGCCATGAAGCGCTTCGGCCTGCGGTGAATTCCAAGCAGGCTTCCATTGAGGAACACCTGCCCAGCCATATTGTTGGCACTGCTTAGCTTAGGAACTGCTGCACATCCTGGTAGCACGGTCAATGCCAAGGCTGCTCTGCGTAGCCAGCGGATCGTCGAAATGCTTCCGAGGCGCCAAATAGTTTCCGATGTGGTGGAGCTCCTCACCAGACATGGCCTGAGCATCCTGCAGCCAAACCCGAATACACCAAGTCAAAGCGAAGTATAACGGAGGCAGCGGATGGCAGCTGTAACAGTGGTGCACATTGGACACTGGCCTCAACGCCAAGGCAATAACACATTTGCTGCAATGATCCGCGCTGACCTGAGCTGCGCAGGGCCTCGACACTAGATCTGCACACGAGCATCTAATGTCATGCTGTGCAGGAAGGGAACTGGAACAATTAGAGGCTAGAGGTGTCTGGGCTACTGTGATTTCTGAATTGTTCTGAGGCAGCTTCTCTCTTCTCCCGTTGTGACGTGCGTCAGCAGGGCCAGGTGCCTCAGAAGTATTGCAGCACAGTGCCGAAAAAGATTTGTGTGGGATGCTTTCAGAATCAGATGATGCAGACCAGGTGCTTCACCAGGCCGCACTGTTCGCCTTCTGGGGTGTCTGCAGGGCAGATCATCCCCCACTGTGAAGGCTGCAGAGCTCGAGGGCCAGCCACTTTGCGACTCTTCTCAAATTGGGACTTCACTCGCATCCTCAGGTGTCATGTGCCCAGATGCGCCCAGTACCTCCCACTACTGTAGTCAGAGTGTTATGGCTGAAGGGGTCCCTACGCTGAACGGAACCGGCCATGGCTCATTGATCCAACGCACGACATATAGGAGAATCTGGACAGGACCTGTCAAGTGTTCTTTCTTCATCACATCGCCGACATCTCGGAATTCTTGAGACTGGGCTTGGAGATTGTTGCAGAGCACAGGAGCGATGTTCTAGAAACCACTTCACACAGTTCATCGATCTCGCCAAGGTTGAACGAATCTAGAAACAGATCAAGCCGTAGTCTACGTGACCAACACCAAAGCACCCTTATGACCTTGGGGCCCACCTGCGAGACGCCCGCACGATCAATGCGGAATCGTTTGATGTTCCAGTTGCCCGTTGAGATGGCGTTTGCCATCGCCCTTGTCAACTTCGAGCGGTCTTGCCAAGATTCCAAGATGTCTGGATACCTTGCAACGCTTGCTTTCATACTTTAGGCACTGTGCAATCTGTGCAAAGACGGCTGCAAGCACTGAGGCGAGGACGAGGACATGTCTTTCACACGGGCAGCTGAGGATTGATGCCATTTGGAAAGGAGCAGGTCTGCTTGCTTTTGCAACTCCATGTTCATGAACTTGAACTGGTCCTTCCAGGGAGGGGGTGGGAGGAACGATTGAGAAGAGTGGGCTACCGTTGTTGCTGAAAAGCGCGACGGCTCCATCGGCCAGCCAAAATGTATTTAAAATAGTTCTCCCTCGCTTACTGGCTTAAAACCCTTTGGAAACCGGACTTGATGACTGCCAGCGCCCTAAACCCTAAACCCTAAACCCTAAACCCGAAACCCGAAACCCTAAACCCTAAACCCTAAGCCCTAAGCCCTAAACCCTAAGCCCCTAAACCCTAACCCTAAACCCTAAACCCTAAGCATCCTCGAAGAGCACTTCGATGAGCTGGCCGGACAGCTCCAGGCGCTTGTTGCCGTAGTAGTCCCCTCTACTAGAACCCAGCTTGTTGCACACTGGGAGAGGGCTGCTCTCCCTTCAGAATATGGGGGGGGGGGGGGTGGGTGGCCGAAATTAGGAGTACCTTATTGGGGTCCTTATTACACGGGAATCCTACTATGTGGGATCTATATTGGGGTTCCCCGGTTTCGAAACACATATGCAATTGACGTGCCTGCGATACCAATGTGCCAATAGTCTCCGTGCAGCCGAGCAACGATCATCCACCAGCCTCCCATCATACATGGCGTTGATCACCCTGCGAATCATCAGCCCAAAATAGCCTGGAAGTTTTCCAGTCGTTGACGTCTGCTTCTACCTCTTGTGTTCGCCAACAAAGCGACAAGGAGCGAATCTTTGGACCCAGGTTGTTGTTCGGGCATTCGATGTGGGACAAAACCTGGAATCGGCGGGTGAGACGACAGCAAAAACTACACAGGCAAGTGTGGACATCTGTGCGCAATCTCCGAAAGCACAGTATCAATCTGTGCAGGTACCCTTGTCCAGCCTGTCTGTGAATAAGGTCCATGGGATCTTGCTTCTGGCGACGCTCTTGTCCTAGAAGAATTACAACACTTCCGTGTGGCCGGACTTTGAGAAACTGCACATCCGTTTCAAGCCGCTGCAATCGGCATGCTACGGCTAAGTGGAGCTCCTGGCTTGACCTTGATTTTTGTCGACAAGTAGTCCAGCGCAGCCTTCTGCGAAAACACGTTCTTCTCCTGAGTCCCGAACTGAAGGGACACATCATGCAGAGGCAATGGATGAATGTCGACTAGAACCATGTTCTGGCAAAGCCCTTGGCGATAGTGTCTGGTTTACGTAAAAGGAGAAACCAAAACAGCTTGTCCATGATATGGCCGAGTTACATGACATTCTTGAAGCGAAATCATCAACGTGTCAAGGTACTTGCGCTGAATCCCCACCATCTGGATGATCTCCATGTCGCTCTGAACTCCCATCGCCTGTCACGCGTGCGTGGTGGGAATGAATGGAGCCAATGGAACACAGACGGAAGCCTTCATGACAATTGAGATGGGGATCAAGTCCGAAAAGGCGGAATTCTTCATGTAGAGTCCCTTCTTCCGCGTCAAAGGATTCGCCACAACTACCTCACAAGCAACTCTCGGTTGAAAGCCTTTGCTGCCACCGCTCTCTTTTGTTTTCCCGTGGGAAGCAACCTTTGAGGCGACGGCCGTTCGACTTTTCGTGTCATCACCTTGGACTTGGACCAATGATGCACAAGGCCGCTCGAAGCAAGTAGCGGCTATGTGAAGTGATTCAATAAGCTCCGATAATCTCCGATATCTCCCTTTGACAGTCCGTTCAACACCTGCAAGATCTTGCAAGGCGCGATGCTCCTGAGTGTTGACTACTGCTTGCTCAGGCTCTGCTCCATGCAACCGTGCGGCTTGAGGAGGTCACGAACGCTTGCAGCAGCTTCTTGGAGTCATACTCCACAACAATGCGGTTCGTCAGGGACTGACATGGATTGAAGCATGGCGAGATGGAAGCCGCAGAAGAAGTGCCATTTGTCTGACAGCATACGTGAAGTCGTGTCTGCAGCGAGGGAGTTCACAGGCCTGCTCCTGCATCATAAGGACTCTCTCCACGCCTTTCACGATGAAGTATCCTCCCGATTAGGCATCAAGGCTCACAGAACTTACTGACTGATGAAGCTGCCATTAGGCTTTGTAACCGCACCCTTGTCGCAGCTCCGAGGCTACTCAACGTTGAAGACTAAGCAGCGTCACATGGACTGGAGATGCAATGCTTAATGCTCACACAACAGTCCTCCAGGATCCATCGGGCACTCGCCCAAAGCGATGACATCCTTGTAAAGTCAAGCAGCGTCACATCCGTGCCACCAGCCCTCCTCACAAGTCTTACCCCCCAAGTCTTATGCCCCTCAACAACCCAAAAATTGCCCTGGGCTGAAATTTTCTGCGATCAGGAGGCCTCATCAGTCTTGGCGTTGCTCAAGGCGCAGAGGTTGCTGCGCAACATCACCGGAAGCATGCCGATCTCCAGGTCTCTCTTGCGCACCTTGCGGTCGCCCTTCCAGTAGACCACATCCACAAGGATGGGCGCCGCATAGGTCAAGTCCCGGAGGCGGCACATGTGAGGGTTGGTCTCCTACAGGTCTTTTGTATGAAGGCTGCGGTGGATAGACGTTTTCGTGGTGTTCTTTAGGGGTGAGTAGTGTATGTTGTGCAGTGCTTAGGGTGTCAGTGTTCAGTTGGCACTCAGGATGGTCTACGAAGTCTGGCATGGCCACTGCCCGATCCTGCACAATCATATCTTCAGTCTTCGAAGGCCTTCCCACGCGGATATTTTCGTACTGAAGGAACCAGTTCTTGTCAGATTCACTTCTGACAATGTTGTTGCTCGCAGCTTTCACAATCTTCTTCATCTTGACGTTCCTCAGTTCACCACTGCAACGACTCATCCAAGGGTTAGGGTCTCTTCCGACCATGGTTCCTGCTGTGTTTTGTCTTGGTGTCCTCAAATAATGACGCTGTTTGCCAACACAATCACCATTCAAAATTGAATGCGAGCAATGGGATCAAGGGTTCTCGACAGCGGGAAACTCAGGGGGGCTGGCCAGTGGATCAGTAGCTAGGCCCCAGTCCAACAAAATCGAAAAGCGCAGCCACGTTTGGACTTGGGGGTCCTGCCGGTCCTGATTCTTATTTTATTTTGGGATCGGGGGTGGGTTCTTGACAGGAAACAATGCTGTCGTTCGCGCAACCATGCGCTAATCTGATGCTACGCCGAGAAGCACGAAATGATTGTAGGAGTCCTTAGGCCATGCTTGTCTGCACCAGTGCGAGGGTGGAAATCTGATTGCACAAGCATTCTCAACGCTTCGGCAACTGGCTACTCCATGATCCACATCAGCTGGGCTTGCTGGGCAGGATTCGATATGCTGTGTCACGAGCCCTTTGTATTCCAGAAACAGATCCACCAGCCGCCATTTGTCTGAGATGGATGCCACCTAAGGTGCTCGCCCAATGGGGTTCCACAAGAATCATATCATCAGGTGCCATTGATTCACTAAGGCATTCCGCGTGGGAATTCCTGTCATGCCTTTCCGGATCATACGGAACTGCTTCTGACTTACAGGACAGGTTGAAATTCAGCAGATCTGACACGAACGAATCAATCTCGAACCAGAGCTGAACCATCTGAACCTACGGAATTCGTCGAGTTGGCCTGCTGCGACGCCTCAATCTCAGCTGCGACTTCTCGTTTCTTCCTCTCCTGAAAAGGGGAATTGGGACCTTGTCCTAGAAAGTTGCGGATGGTCTGGGTGGGCGGCTCAGTACTCCGGCAGCCCAAACTTCCAGTCTTGGGTCCAAATTCACACGAAAGCCAGAACCCACCGAAGCCAGCGTGCTACAATACAACGTTGGGTGAAGCAGAAGAAGCGCACGAAACTGAAGTGTTGATGCAAATTCGGCTGCAGTCCATGCTCATGCAATCCTCGTGTCTTCCTAAGATCGCATGACTGGAGCTCCTTGTCCCATGGCCATTCTTGCCTCCACCAGTTGCCTTAAGCACACAAGTGTGTTGCACAGTGACATCTCCAAGTCAAGAGATTCACAAGGACTCCAGCTCATGCACTTGAACTGGGTCTAGGACCATGCTTCACAAGGGCTGGTGCTGGCATTCTATCTCCTGCACCACGTCACAGCAATGCTCAACACGTGCCATATGGGCAAGGCCTCCTCCACTATCTGACAGTTGCGGTACTGCGTAGGTGTGCGATGTGTACTTATGAGGTCGTGCACATGAGCAGGTGGGGCAGTCCCAGCCGCAGGAGGTGTGAGTCGAATGTGCCAGGGCATGGCGCAAGGGGGCTGCTGCTAGGGGCGGCCTCCCTTGAGCCCTTTGATGCTGCAAGGTCGGCTGCGTGCTGTCTACAGTACACAATCTCAGCCAGCAGCTATAAAACACGCACCACATCCTACACTTCGCAGGACTTGCTCCTGAACACTCCAGGACTTCAGGACACTGCTGAGCTTAAGTTGAAATTGAATGAAGCTGTCTGAAGAACTCACTCCCTGCAAGCTCCGTCTGTCGCTGAAGCTGCTCCAGTCGCTCACCTCATGCTCAGGCAGATGGCAGATGCCAGAAAAGACTTCTGCAACTTCTCTTCAAAACCAAGCTGCGCAGCACATGCAACTGCTGAGCAGGCGGCAAAGCGTGAGATTCTTCTTGGGCGAAGAATCCTGCCCGTGGGCTATGCTATGTTTGGGTGGAACTCTGTTAAGGGATCCTCGGCCAATCGTGAAACTGCAGCAGCTGTTTGGTGTCAGCACTCGGCCAAACCAACTACCTGCACTGAATTCACCAGCATTTGCAAGCCACCGGCATCCTGGTTCTCTGGAAAGCTTTGTGCAAAGTGCTCCAGCAACTCTGTGGCTGACCTTATCTCTTGCGCCAGGAGAAGCTCATCATAGTTGCATGTGATCATTCCCGCGCATATTTGCCTCCTCTTCGGACTATCCTACGTGTTCTTTCTCTGGATCCCGCCGCATGGTCTGAAACAACACCGGAGGCTCGCGTCCGATTCAGACATGCCATGGGGCACGGGAACTCTCATCTTAGCCCGACGCGTTCCAGTTGGGATGCTGCTTCGCCTGTCCATGGTGCAGGTTGGAGGTTGGCGTGCGCATTCTCCCACAGGTCCCCATGATGTTTACAACGGCTTACACGAAAAGATGAAATGAGATGAAAGCGGAAACGAACCATCAACCGGCTTGAGCTGGAGAAGGCCCGAACCAGCCAGTGGCCAATCGAGGTGAGGGAATGCGGCCGCGACACGAAGTGCAAAGTTGCAGCCAGACTTCTAAAGCCCGTCGGAGAAAGCACGAAAACGCAGGTGGCACTAAAGCCCTTGAGCGCTCAGGTGTCCACAGTGTCTCAAGACTTCTTTAAGCTTACTTATTGGAACATGTCCCGCGGCGTCCCTCGCCCCTTGCAAAAAAGCCCAGCTAGCTCTACGTGCGGCACATCTGTTGAAGGCCTAGCCGCTGGCATAGCTGTAGTAGAACTTCTGTAGAACCCTGACAACCCAAAAAAGAGCACTCGGAGCCTATGGGAGCGGAAGGAGCCACCAGGCTTAAAGAGCATGACCTCCGGCGCTCTGTGCGCCGAAGTCTGCATCTCGCCCTTGGGACTCCCCATCCTCCCCCACCCCGCTACCGGGATCTACCGGGATCTACCGGGCTACCGCTCGCGCGTCATCTTCTGAGCCCAAGGAACTAGGAAAAAGCCGGCAGAAACGGCTTGCAAGGTCAGAGTGCATGTGCTGCAGCGAGGAGCAGCTTTAAGAGGAACTTTTTGACATGCATGAAATCTCGCGCATAAGTCCCACCGGGCATCAGCTCAAACGTATTCGCTTATCTCAGACCTGAGCTCAGGGACCGTCAGGGACCAGGGACAACTCTGACTCAGGTCATCTCAGGACCCGGCAACTTTGCGCCTGGAATCTCAGTCAGGGTCGCAGTGCCATCTTTGATGTACGCCCTGACCTGTGACATCCGGGGTTTCCCCTGTAGCCTACATAGGTTGACATTCTTCCCGTAGGTTGTCCCCATCTTCGTCTGGGCTCGCAGGCTGTGAATGGTGTTCCTCCGCCTCGGCCCCGAAGCATGGCAAAGCAAAAAGGTAGACACGTCGCCTATGTCATGTCATGTGGTCCTGCGTTGTCCTTCTGTCCTTCATGATGTTCCGATGATGCAATGTTGTTCTGGGGGCTGTGATCTAGTCATCCAAACACCACCCCTGCACATGCGCATATCAGGCCGGCCTTCCATGCAAGTCGCGTAGACCTCGACTTTCCACAGGCAGACTTGAAAGACATGGAGCAGGGACTACTAGGAGATGACGTGCGCTGAGCCTTTGTACAGCAGGCCCCAGAAATCCCACGCATGTCCCTTTTATCAGAACCCTTCACGCAGGCTGCGCAAGACTGAACAGGATAATTCAAAAACTCAACGTGGCAGCGGGCCTTCCAGACGCCATGGCCTCCGCGAAGTTCGATCTCCCCGCTGAGCTGAGCAGGTGTGCGGAGCTCCACCGACAACTCAAAGAGTTCTCCAACAGAATGCAATCAATATAATTCCCCAACAGCGGGCACGCTTGGGGTTTGCAATCTGGTAAGGGAGAAGGTCGGTGACTAGATTTTGTGCACGGCTTCGCGGAAAGCTAAGGGACACGTGCGCGCGCGGAACTACTGTAACTTTTTGCGCCTGGGCAATTAAAAAGTAGTCTTCGAGGAGTCCAGCGAGGAAGGAAAACAGCGCCAGGCAGTTTGAGCGCACTAACATGCCTGCGCAAGCAGAATGAAATCCATGTGTGCTGCCGAAAAAAGATGCGCATGTGTGCGTTCGCAGCACGCTTAACATGTCTGTGCAAGCAGAATGAGATCCATGTGGGCTGGCCGTATATAAGCTGTGTACGCGCGCAGCAAGTTTTGCGTCCTATATACATAGCTTTTGGCCCTTGCTTTTGCAACCGCTTTCTTGCCGTAAAGATATTGCTACCCAACACATAACATGTCTGTGCAAGCAGAATGAGATCCATGTGGGCTGGCCGTATATATGTGTGTATGCTCGCGTTGCAAGGTTTGGTTCCTATAGTTTTTAGCCCTTGCTTTTGCAACCACGTTGTTGCCGTAAAAATATTCCTAGGCAACGCAGCACGCGGCACGGAGAGCGCAACAGCGAAGCAGCAGTATGTTGATACGGATATCTTGTAAATACACACGATGTTTCCGTGCGAACGGCGAGACACCCATGTGTGCCCGCGCAGCAGCAGTTGAGTCACAAGACCGAGACGGACAGCCGAGATTGTCTCGCCGGCGGAATCTTTGCGCGCCGGCGGATATGTGTGTATGTGCGCGAAGCAAGTTTTGGTTCCTATAGTTTTTAGCCCTTGCTTGTGCAACCGCTTTCTTGCCGCACAAATATGCCTACCCAACACCTGATGTCTGTGTGTAAAACGCGACTGTCTAGCGCAAGGGCAGATCCGTGCGCCAGGCAGTTTGAGCGCACTAACATGCCTGTGCAAGCAGAATGAGATCCATGTGTGCTGCCGAACAAAATAGCGTATGTGCGTTCGCAGCACACGGCACGTGCTAACACGTCTGTGCAAGCAGAATGAGATGCATGTGGGCTGGCCGTATATAAGCTGTGTACGCGCGCAGCAAGTTTTGCGTCCTATATACATAGCTTTTGGCCCTTGCTTTTGCAACCGCTTTCTTGCCGTAAAGATATTGCTACCCAACACATAACATGTCTGTGCAAGCAGAATGAGATCCATGTGGGCTGGCCGTATATATGTGTGTATGCTCGCGTTGCAAGGTTTGGTTCCTATAGTTTTTAGCCCTTGCTTTTGCAACCGCTTTGTTGCCGTAAAAAAAAAGCCTAGGCAACGCAGCACGCGGCACGGAGAGCGCAACAGCGAAGCAGCAGTATGTTGATACGGATATCTTGTAAATACACACGATGTTTCCGTGCGAACGGCGAGACACCCATGTGTGCCCGCGCAGCAGCAGTTGAGTCACAAGACCGCGACGGACAGCCGAGATTGTCTCGCCGGCGGAATCTTTGCGTGCCGGCGGATATGTGTGTATGTGCGCGAAGCAAGTTTTGGTTCCTATAGTTTTTAGCCATTGCTTTGCAACCGCTTTCTTGCCGCACAAATATGCCTACCCAACACCTGATGTCTGTGTGTAAAACGCGACTGTCTAGCGCAAGGGCAGATCCGTGCGCCAGGCAGTTTGAGTGCACTAACATGCCTGTGCAGGCAGAATGAGATCCATGTGTGCTGCCGAACAAAATAGCGTATGTGCGTTCGCAGCACACGGCACGCGCTAACACGTCTGTGCAAGCAGAATGAGATGCATGTGGGCTGGCCGTATATAAGCTGTGCGCACGCGCAGCAAGTTTTGCGGCCTATATACATAGCTTTTGGCCCTTGCTTTTGCAACCGCTTTCTTGCCGTAAAGATATTGCTACCCAACACATAACATGTCTGTGCAAGCAGAATGAGATCCATGTGGGCTGGCCGTATATATGTGTGTATGCTCGCGTTGCAAGGTTTGGTTCCTATAGTTTTTAGCCCTTGCTTTTGCAACCGCTTTGTTGCCGTAAAAAAAAAGCCTAGGCAACGCAGCACGCGGCACGGAGAGCGCAACAGCGAAGCAGCAGTATGTTGATACGGATATCTTGTAAATACACACGATGTTTCCGTGCGAACGGCGAGACACCCAAGTGTGCCCGCGCAGCAGCAGTTGAGTCACAAGACCGAGACGGACAGCCGAGATTGTCTCGCCGGCGGAATCTTTGCGTGCCGGCGGATATGTGTGTATGTGCGCGAAGCAAGTTTTGGTTCCTATAGTTTTTAGCCATTGCTTTGCAACCGCTTTCTTGCCGCACAAATATGCCTACCCAACACCTGATGTCTGTGTGTAAAACGCGACTGTCTAGCGCAAGGGCAGATCCGTGCGCCAGGCAGTTTGAGTGCACTAACATGCCTGTGCAAGCAGAATGAGATCCATGTGTGCTGCCGAACAAAATAGCGTATGTGCGTTCGCAGCACACGGCACGCGCTAACACGTCTGTGCAAGCAGAATGAGATGCATGTGGGCTGGCCGTATATAAGCTGTGCACACGCGCAGCAAGTTTTGCGGCCTATATACATAGCTTTTGGCCCTTGCTTTTGCAACCGCTTTCTTGCCGTAAAGATATTGCTACCCAACACATAACATGTCTGTGCAAGCAGAATGAGATCCATGTGGGCTGGCCGTATATATGTGTGTATGCTCGCGTTGCAAGGTTTGGTTCCTATTGTTTTTCGCCCTTGCTTTTGCAACCGCTTTGTTGCCGTAAAAAATATGCCTAGGCAACGCAGCACGCGGCACGGAGAGCGCAACAGCGAAGCAGCAGTATGTTGATACGGATATCTTGTAAATACACACGATGTTTCCGTGCGAACGGCGAGACACCCATGTGTGCCCGCGCAGCAGCAGTTGAGTCACAAGACCGCGACGGACAGCCGAGATTGTCTCGCCGGCGGAATCTTTGCGTGCCGGCGGATATGTGTGTATGTGCGCGAAGCAAGTTTTGGTTCCTATAGTTTTTAGCCCTTGCTTTTGCAACCGCTTTCTTGCCGAAAAAAGATGCCTACCCAACACCTGATGTCTGTGTGGTCGTGTAAGACACGACTGTCTAGCGCAAGAGCAGATCCGTGTGAACGGCGAGACACCCATGTGTGCCCGCGCAACGACATGCGTGCACGATCTTGTCGCGAACCTTTCCGTGTGTCGCGCCGGAGTGTGTCGCGCCGGATGCAGCACGCGGCGCGGAGAGCGCAACAGCGAACGCAGCAGTATATTGATTTGAATATATTGAAAATACACACGATGTTTGTGCGAACAGAATGAGATCCATGTGTGCTCGCACCAAACGCAGCAGTTGGGTCGGAAGACCGCGACGGACAGCCGAGATTGTCACGCCGGCGGAATCTTTGCGTGCCTAAAGATGTGTGTGTGTGTGTGTATGCGCGCGTAGCAAGTTTTGGTTCCCATAGTTCCCCAACAGCGAGCACGCTTGGGGTTTGTAATCTGGTGAGCCCAAGCCCTGCTCCCTAAGATTTTTGGAGATTTTTGGGGCAACTAAACTCTGCACTAAACACCGTACCTGAGGTAACACACATTGTATTTCAGTAATCACCCCCCACTAAGCAAAACCAAACTCTGTACCAGGGCTTATACTTGTCTGGCCCCACAATATTGAAATATGGGAAAACTCAGTGTTTCAATATTGGGCTGGATCCAAGATCCAAGATCCAATATTCTGCAGAAAGTGTTTCAAGGTGATGCAAAAAAAGCCCCTGCTCTGGTCAAGTGAGAGTCTAGGGAGGTGGGGAGGTTTGCAAACATACAAATATTCAGGCCCTCTGGAAAGAAGGGAGGACGAGGGAAAAGAAGAACCGATTACGAAAAAAACAATGCTCAAGTTTAGGTTTTCGGGTTGATGGTCTAAATAACTACATATATATGAATTTTAAAAACAAGCATGAATTTACTTTGATATATATATATATATATATATTGCTAAAATATAAATGCCTGTTGCCTCTAACATAAAAGCTTATTGTGTTTAAAATTACGCTTGTTAAAACAACAGGCCCTTATGCTAACCGCTTGTTACATACACAAAGGTCTCTTGTAAGCGCTTAAAGCTGATATAAGCATCGAGTCAGGGCATAGCAAGACAACGGTTGCAAAAGCAAAGGCTAAAAGCAATAGTGATATAGGAACCAACGCTTGCTGCGCGCGCACATACAGATATTTTATTGTACGCAAAGATTCCGTGGGCGAGACAACCTCGGCTGTCCATTCATATCAAAATGCTGCTGTCCTTACGCCACGCGCGTGCGTTCAAATTGCCTGGTGTTGTAACGGGAGAGCCGGTATGTCATCGAAAGATCATAGCAAGAAAGCGGTTGCAAAGGCAAAGGCTAAAAGCAATAGGTCAATAGGAACTAAAACTTGTTGCGATTTGTCATTTTGGAAGACAGCTTGCCCCAAAACTCTTGGGGGTTTAGGGCGTGGCTTGGGCAATAGGGTTTGGGACGGGGCCGAGCTGGGGGCTTGGGCGTCAAGGTTATAGGGGTTTGAGGGGATATATACAGTTTTGGCCAGGGTTGGTTGTTTTTTGTTGAGGGTTCAGGGACTTAGGGTTGTGGTCTCTTGGGCTTACGGATGGAGATGTAGAGTTCAACGGTGGTTTGGGGTTTAGGGTCTAAAGTGGGGTTATTGCTTCGGGTTGATGATTAAACCCCAAGCAGCCATAAACCTCAAACGCCAGACCCTAATTAAACCTTTCTTAGATGTATCCAAGAAAAAAAGTACTCAGGGGTCATGGTGAAGTTTTGGGTGGGTGTTTAGGGTCTGCATCTTTGGGTGTTTGGGGTGGAGTTTGGGTTGGGCGGTTTGCGGTTTGGGATTCCTGCTTTGAGTTTGTTTGTGTTGGGGGGCGGGGGGGGCGGGGAATGTTTGGGTTGTTTACGGTGGGGGGTTGTCAGGGCGGCGCAGCGTTTTTTTGAGGTGGGAGGGGGGGGGGGGGGGCTTGGGGGCGTTTCGGGTTCAGAATTCCGGGTGCTCAGGATTCATGATTTCGGGGTTGAGGGCCTGTCTGGGTGTCAGGAGTATGGTTCGGAGCCGAGATGTTTTTTAGGGGAGTTAACTCGAGTTAACTCGGGTTGGCTCTGGGAGTTAAATTAAAAGGAAAATAAGAGGTTTTGGGGAATTAACTCGGGTTGGCTCTGAGAGTTAGCTCGAGTTAACTCGGGTTGGGTCTGACAGTTAACTCGAGTTAACTCGGGTTGGCGCTGAGACTTAACTCGAGCTAAATCGGGCTAACTCCCCTGCGCATGAAACACCAAACCCTAAACCCTAAATCCCATGCCCTAAGCCCGAAAACCCTAAAAAGCCCTAAGCCCTCAGCCCCCAACCCAAAACCCTGGACTCGGAACCATAGACCTAATCCCTAAACATGAGCGCCTAAACATCACCTTGAACCCGAAACCCTAAAGTCTGAACCGAAGACCCCTGTATATAATAAGCCCTTTCATCGACATAGTCGATCCAAAACTTCAATTCCAAATAAAAGTGAATAAATACATGAACCAAAAACAAAAACTCACAATAAATACACACATATATATAAACACATATAAACGCGAAGCCGTATATTTTACAACAGAGGAGGCTGCGGGAGCCTGTTTGTTAGAATGAGTTTGTTGCGTTGTTTGCTTTCTCGTGTTTTGTTGGATCGTGATGGCCGACGTTAAAACATCGAAACAGACAAGACCGCTTTTCAAAAAAAGTGGAGTCCTGGTCCCTGGTTATTGCCGCCCCCCTTCCCCCAATATTGACATATTGAAGCCCTTTCAATATTGAGCTGGATCCAAGGTCAGACGTGAAAAGATGTCGTAAAACAATCTTGGATCCAGCCAGGACACTCCCCCCAATATTGAAGCATTGAAACCCTTTCAATATTCCAAGGTAGGGCCCAGCCTGCGCCTGGATCCTAGATGGCCTCCAAAAGAGACTGTGAAATCTTGGATCTTGGATCTTGGATCCAACCCAATATTGAAACATTGAGTTTTTTACAATGTTTCAATATTGCGCCCACACTGGGCCGTGGAACCAGATTAGCAAACAAAAGCTAAGGAGCTGTAATTGAGTGTTCATTAAAGGACGTATTCCCACAGCGTTCCACTTCAAACAATATATATATATATATATCTTTATGTGTGTGTGTGTTTTAATTACATATTTGCATACTTCTGCAGGCTTTAGTGCAGAGTTTAGGTTTTGCTTATTGGGGGGATGACAACTGAAAAACAATGCGTTAGCTAAGGTACAGTTTTTCGTACAGAGTTCAGGCTTTGCTTTTTTGAGGGTGAAATACAATGCGCTAGCGAAGGTGCTGTGTTGGTACAGAGTTTAAATGTTGCTTCTTGGGATGATTACTGAAATTGCAAAGTCTTAGCTAGGGTACAGTGTAGTGCAAAGTTTTGGTTTTGCTTATTGGGGGGTGATTGCTTAAGGTACAGTTATCAGCGCAGAGTTAGGTTTGGTTTGCTTATCGGAGGATGAGAACTGAAATACAATGTGCTAGCTAAGGTACAGTGTTTGGTTCAGAGTTCAAGTTAAGCTGCTTGCTTATCAAGGGGAGGTGAGGGGGGGGGGGGGCGGGGGAGGGCTGATTATGGCTATTCAATATGTGTTAGTTTAAAAGAGTTTGGGTTTTGCTCAATGGGGGATGATTGCTTGAGGTAAAGTTTGTAGTACAAAGCTTAGGTTTTTCTTATTGGGGGATGCTTGCTGAAATAAAACCGGTGTTTTCACAGCTTCGAGCAAAACATCCCGAACACAAGCCGAAGAGACATCGAACAGAAGAAGCGCAAGGTGGGATCAGGAGGTCCCAGAAAGAGTGAAAGGATATCTGCTCACCTGTGAGAAAAGTTGCTGTGTGCTGCTTCTTTGGGTGGGCCTTCTTTACTCTGCTCGGAAGCCATGCCAGACTACGACCACAATCGTTTAAAACAACCTGAGCCAGTATGCACATGGAAAGCCTGCATGCACGGAAAGACAGCATTCATGCTGAACTTGTTGCACAGGTAATTGGCCCTGTCGGGCCCTTCCTCCCTCCCTGCATGTCAAGGAGCAAAATTTAGATTTACTTCCTTCCATTTGCCCCACAATACAAAGAATAAGCGTTTATATTATAGACAATGAGCGTTTCTGTTTTATACAATAAGCGTTGATGTTAAAACCCTTCTAAAGGTGTACACTTTTATCGGCATAGACGTTAATTTTTAAGAGACTATTGGAAGATCAAGGTGGCCTTTGGACGACATACCGGCTCTCCCAATTTGAATGCGAGCGCGCGTGTGGCTTAGCGACAGCGCGAATGCAGCAGCATTTTGATATGAATATTTACACGATGTTTGTGCGAACAGAATGAAATCCACGTGTGCGCGCAGAAAACGTAGCAGTTGTGTCACAAGACCGCGACGGACAGCCGAGGCTGTATCACCGGCGGAAACATTGCGCGCAAAAAGATATCTGTATGTGCGCACGCAGCAAGTTTGGGTTCCTATAGTTTTTAGCACTTGCTCTTGCCACAGCTTTCTTGCCGTAAAGATGCGCCTGTCCAACACCTGGTTCGATTCCGTTTGCAAAAACGACTACACGCCGGCTGATGATATCCCACGCTGTTGGGGTCTGTTGCTGCTGAGATAATGCAATCAATAAATACAACAGAATGTATATATATATATATATCTATATTTATATTTATTTTTTCTTTTATATACCATCAATGTTTCAGTGACCCTCAGAGCTTCCGCAAGCTTCCGAGCACTGGCCTCGCGAAGCTTGCCCTCCTGGCTCAGAATTCTCAGACTGAGGGCAACGCTGTTGAGCTGAGAATGACATAGACTCAACATTCCCTGTGTAAGCACGCGCGACGATTTATTTGTCAGAAGCTGCAGCTGCTCAGCTCCTTCTTAAGTTCGGCTCTGCCATCCGGACCTGCGACAAGGTTTTAGAAGCGATCAGCTTCTGCCAGCCCCCCTATTTGGGTGCATTTTGGGCCAGGTATGCTGCTGATGCGCACCTACGACAAGCAGCATCACTCGCGGGTAGCTCGTGTCCTTTCTGCCAGCTGGCCATCCCAAAGCTTCTGGGTCTGCTGCAAGATGTCTAGTGTTAGTAAGCCGACAGCCCAGCAACATGTCACGCAGTCCTTGTAGTTTAAGCCATCCTGCTTTCCTTGGTTGGTCGCTCGAGTGGAAGCAGGTGCAAGGTCGGTTGCAACAATGCAGCCGAACTTCGTTTGTAATAACGGCGCTGGCGGTGTGCCAGCGGCTGAACGAGCATCACCTGGTCATGTCACACAGTACTGCAGAACTGAAATATCGGGCCATGAGTGAAGTCTGGCTGGCTCCAAGTGTCGTGCCACAGCTGTCCTCGACCCGGCACACCCCAAGGCTCGATTCACACCATGACCGCTGCGCATGCAAGTCTAGCCGGCCGAGGCCCACGCATGGTGTCCTTGCCAAGACAGGCAGCATAAAGAGACAGCGGTGACTTACAAGGGTCGGCGGGGGGGGTCCTTGGCGTCTTGTTTCTCAGTGCTATCAAGGTCAAAGCGGGAGATAGGACCTGAAGGTCGGACAGCTTCGTACAAGTGCAGCTAATGTACACGGCTTTGTCAACACATCGCTGCAGGTGCTCACGATCATCCAGCTTGACATAATTGCCCGGGAAGAAGCCTGGGCGACATCGTGAAGCGAACATGTCACTTCCCTGACCGGCGAGGTTGGCACCTGATTTTGATGACCCTGCCGCCGTACCACTCCTCGCACAGCCAAAACTTTCACACAACTCCGGGCTCACGGATATCCAGCACAATGACGTATGCGCCGTGACAGGCCACTTATAGCGACAAGTTCCGTGTTGTATTGAAAAAGCGTTTATAGCCTTGATGCTTCAGGTGCAGATGCACGTGTGCTGAATTCATGGCCCTATGCCTTTTGCCAAGGTGAGTTGTCTAGGATTGTCCAGACATGCTGTGTGCTGTGAAAAGGAATTGGGGTGTTGGTAATTAGAACAGAATAAGGTATGCCTGGCGAGCAAAAATAGTTTGTAGCTGGTTGTACTTCATATGTTTGTGTTTTCGATCATGTGCACACACACACACACATATATATATATATATATGGGTCACCGCCTATAGCGGTTCCCCTGTGTTTTTTGCACATTCCCTTAAACAGTTTAAACCATTTAACCATTCAACCAATGGTTTCCCCATACGAAAATCCCTAAAACCATTAAACCATTAAACCGTTAAACCATTAAACCATTAAACCATTAAACCAGTAAACCAATGGTTTCCCTCCCCAAAACCATTAAACCATTAAACCATTAAACCATGAAACCATTAAACCATTCAACCATTAAACCAATGGTTTCCCCCCTTATGAAAAACCGCTAAACCATTAAACCATTAAACTATTAAACCATTAAAACATTAAACCAATGGTTTCCCCCTTATGAAAATCCCCTCAACCATTAAACCATTAAACCATAAACCATTAAACCATGAAACCATTGGTTTCCCCCATATGAGAATCCCCTTAACCATTCAACCATTTCATGGGGGGGGCAACCATTGGTTTAATGGTTTAATGGCTTAATGGCTTAATGGCTTAATGGTTTAATGGTTTAATGGTTTAATGGTTTAATGGTTTAATGGCTTAATGGTTTAATGGTTTAATGGTTTCAGGGATTCTCATATGGGGAAAACCATTGGTTTAATGGTTTAATGGTTCAATGGTTTAACAGTTTAGGGGATTCTCATAAGGGGGAAACCATTGGTTTAATGGTTTAATGGTTCCATGGTTTAATGGTTTAAAGGTTCAATGGTTTAATGGTTTAATGGTTTAATGGTGCTCCTGCCGAGGTACCTCGTCCGCATCTTTTCTGCTCCTAAAAAGCCTGATTCGCACGCAGTGTCCCCTGTGTCTTTTCTGCTCCGAATATTCTGAATCGCAAGCAGTGTCCCCCGTGTCTTTTCTGCTCATAAGTGTATGTATACTATATGGGATTGCGCCTTAAACCCTAACTCCCTGAACCCTAACTCTATAGGGTTTAAAGGTGAGGGTTTAGGTTGAATTGCCGGCTTAGGTTAAAATGCTTCAATCTTAAACCCTAAACCTGTCAACCTTAACCCTATAGGGTTGGGGTGCCTACATCATGATCGGATTTGACGAGCTCTGCGGAAATATCTATATGACAAGGTTATAACTTATTGCTGTGCTTATAACTATGGGTTGGGGTTTGATTTTTATACACTTATGTAAACCCATAAGAATAAGGGGAAGCCCATCACACCCCAATAAGCGAAACAAAACATCTGTCCCAAAGACTTTACCTTAGCTAAGATATCTCAAGCAACCATCCCCCGATAAGCAAAACCTGAATTCCATCATTTAACGATATAGTTTGCTTACATGTTGAATCCCAGCAAGTAGGATATATGTGTATGACAAGGTTATAACTTTTTGCTGCGGTTATAACTAGCGTTCATAACTAGCGTTCAGGGTTTGATTTATACATGTAAATAAACCTATAAGACAATGACGGTAACCCCATCACGCCCCAATAAGCAAAACAAAACCCATCCGGAAAACTCTACATTACCTAAGATATCGCAAACAACCATCCCCCGATAAACAAAACTTGAATTATCCTTTTTGTTTCTATTTTGAAGGACATTTGCTCACAGTATTCGCGCGTCACCGGGACGAAAGCCCTACAAACGTAGGCATAACCCTATGGGATTTAAGGTTTAGGGATATAAGCCTCAAGCGCTATAGGGTGATTCTATTGTATAGGTAATTAATGCCCAAACCTTAAACCCTAATAACCCTAAACCTTTAAACCCTATAGGGTTCAATGCTTCGATGTATACCTTCAGCACCCTTTGGGGTTGTATAAAAACCCCGTTATAAATCTATTCATCCGTTCTAGGGTTATCGTTTTTTTCTTGATTATCGTTTTACAGGGTTTTGTGGAACAACCTACAATTTCATGGATTGTAGTACAAGCTTAGTACTGGAACCGCCGCCCCCGTGAGCCGGCGGGATTTTCATTGATTTGTAGTACAAGCTTAGTACTGGAACCGCCGTCCCCGTGAGCCGGCGGGATTTTCGTTGATTTGTAGTACAAGCTTAGTACTGGAACCGCCGTCCCCGTGAGCCGGCGGGATTTTCGTTGATTTGTAGTACAAGCTTAGTACTGGAACCGCCGTCCCCGTGAGCCGGCGGGATTTTCATTGATTTGTAGTACAAGCTTAGTACTGGAACCGCCGTCCCCGTGAGCCGGCGGGATTTTCATTGATTTGTAGTACAAGCTTAGTACTGGAACCGCCGTCCCCGTGAGCCGGCGGGATTTTCATTGATTTGTAGTACAAGCTTAGTACTGGAACCGCCGTCCCCGTGAGCCGGCGGGATTTTCATTGATTTGTAGTACAAGCTTAGTACTGGAACCGCCGTCCCCGTGAGCCGGCGGGATTTTCGTTGATTTGTAGTACAAGCTTAGTACTGGAACCGCCGTCCCCGTGAGCCGGCGGGATTTTCATTGATTTGTAGTACAAGCTTAGTACTGGAACCGCCGTCCCCGTGAGCCGGCGGGACTTTCATTGATTTGTAGTACAAGCTTAGTACTGGAACCGCCGTCCCCGTGAGCCGGCGGGATTTACATTGATTTGTAGTACAAGCTTGGTACTGGAACCGCCGTCCGCGTGAGCCGGCGGGATTTTCGTTGATTTGTAGTACAAGCTTAGTACTGGAACCGCCGTCCTGTGAGCCGGCTGGATTTTCGTTGATTTGTAGTACAAGCTTAGTACTGGTGTCGCCTGCCTGCCGCGAAGCAGCAATCAGGCCGTTTTATAACGTTATCGTTTTTTTTCTTGATTATCGTTTTACGAGTCAGGGGCACTGCCCCAAACGCTTCGGGCAACTCCTTTCATAAATCGAATGCGCGGGGTTTTTATACAACCCCCTTTAGGGTTAAAACCTTTGTTCCTTGTAGAGCCCTATCGGGCTTTAGGGTTCTGACCCTAAACGAATCAGGGTTAAGGTATAAATGCCCGGACTTTAAACCCTTAAGGTGAAAACTCTTTGAGTTTTCGTTTTAAATGCCTAAATCCTAAACCCTAACCCCTTAAACCTTAACTCTATAGGGTTTCAAGGTTCGGGTTGAGGTTGAATTGCCGGCTTAGGTTTACATGCCTCAATCTTAAACCCTGAACCTGTCAACCTTAACCCTAGAGGGTTGGGGCGCCTACATCATGATCGGATTTGACGAGCTCTGCGGATATATGTAAATGACAAGGTTATAACTTTTTGCTGCGGTTATAACTAGGGTTCAGGGTTTGATTTATATCCATGTAAATAAACTATAAGACAATGAGGGTAACCCCATCACGCCCCAATAAGCAAAACAAAGCCTCTATCCTAAAAACTTTATCTAGGCTAAGATATCCCAAGCAACCATCCCCCGATAAGCAAAACCTGAATTCTATCATATGACGATATGGTTTGTGTATATTTTGAATCCCAGGAAGTAGTGAAAGGACGTTTGCTCACAGTATTCTCGCGTCACCGGGACGAAAGCCCTACAAACGTAGGCATAACCCTATGGGATTTAAGGTTTAGGGATTTAAGCCCGAAGCCTCTATTGTATTGGTAATGCCCAAACCTTTAACCCTAAGCCTTTAAACCCTGTAGGGTTCAATGGTTCAAGAAAACCTAAGGTCTGGGCATGTATACCTTCAGCACCCTTTAGGGTCAAAACCTTTGTTCCTTGTAGAGCCCTATCGAGCTTTAGGGTTCTGACCCTAAACGAATCAGGGTTAAGGTATACATGCCCGAACTTTAAACCCTTAAGGTTAAATCTCTATGGGTTTAGGTTTAAAGTTTAAAAATACCTAAATCTGAAACCCTAACCGCTTAACCTTAACTCTATCGGGTTGAACGGTTAGGGTTTAGGTTTCATTGCGGGCTTACGTTTAAATGCCTCAATCTTAAGCCCTAAACCTGTCAAACTTAACCCTATAGGTTTGGGGTGCCTACAGCATCATCGACTTGTTGCCGTGGTTATGACGATGGTTTAGGGTTTAAAATATATACATTTATGTAACCTATAAAAAAATAAGGGGAACCGCAATAGGCGGACGCCCATATATATATATATACACATACGCACATGTAGATACCCATAAATTTTTTGTGTGTTATATTTCATATATCAAATTTTGAATGAATGTGCGGAATGAACTGCTGAAAGTATTCAGTGAGCATTTTTGTCATTCATGATGTGAGTTTGTGGTTGGCGAAAATGGAAGGAAGCAACGACTCGAGATCGCTGCACATCTAAAGCTTGTGAAGCTACTATATAGACTGTGATGCCACATCTCCATTTAAACAAATATGCAAACATAATACAGGTTTAGAGGGGATGCCCTTACGCAAGACAAAAATATAGAGATCAAGAGTTTCGGGACACACGCAATACCGACAGAGACGCCTGCTAGGGAATCACAAGGCAAAACAAAGCAAACCAAGACCTATGACAATCCAGAACGCAATATTAACAAAAGACAAGACAGGACCCAGCAACAAGCATTTTGTGAACTTGTGAAACTTGCCTCATCTTGCCGTGTTTTGCGTACACTTTTCCTGCCCACGTCTGCTAGAACCTGTATCTAAACCATCAATGTGGTCTTTGCTATGTCCTCTTGAAACAACAGTACGTTCGCCTAAAGCCTGCTGCACACCTTGTACCGGTTCTCGTAGACAATGGCTGTCTTTGTCAGTTACTGCGTTGGCTTCGGTATGATGACGAAATGCCGCGTTTCCATATCTACACACCGCTGATGCGAATAAACTACGTACTGTTGTCAAAGCTTCACCACTCTTCTCTGACTCTGCTAATAGGAAAGTTGCTGAGGACAGTCAAAAGTTGCGAAAATAGGGCGGAAAGATAAGGCTGCTGCCACCATCCAGGGGCAATGCGCGCCACCTGGATCTGATCACCTGTGCCAAGGCTTCGCGATGAAGCTCCTTTGAAGCTGGCTGCCACATCATCCAGCCTTTCCAGAAGCCAATCTCATCGTCCGCCCGCGCCTTGCAGGCAAATAATGATCAGGCACCGATGTTTTTTCGAACTTCGTACAGTGCGTGCACCGGCATGCACAGGGCCCAAACCTTGTACGTCCACAACGCCGTGGCCTGTTAAGCTTCGACTCTGAAGGGCGCGGGAACAACAGTCTTGCCACGACGATACCCAGAGCTACAAGTAAAGTTCAGACGGCTGGTGACCTGCATCTTGCCAGTCTGGAAGTATGAGTACTGCGACAACTGCTTCCACCTCGGCACAACTTGAAGCGACCTGCACGTGCCATCATGGGGCTCTTGCAAATCGTGTCCATGTGGCTAGCAGAAGAGCCCTGGTGTCTGTGGCTAAGCGCTATGCTTGCATCCAAGGGTGCGCGAATAATGTACCCCTCCGGAAGTCGCAAGGAAGTCCTGGTTTTAGTGGACATCAGACATGACATTCGCATGGCGGAGTCTGGCTATCGTGAACCTCTCCAGGCCTCGTGTATATCTCGAAGCCTCAATAAGTGCTACTCGTTGCCACCTTTTTGGACGGGCCGAGCCATAGTAGCTTCCTATTGATCCGACCAGTGCAGAGTCGAGTTTTGAAGCAGGCCTTTGGCCAGCAACGAACCAATACACCCCTGCCGTACAGCGGTCGGCAGCCCGCATTCCCTGAAATCCAGTGTTACTTCTCCCAAGTTTGGGCCAAAGGCAGCTGTGAGTGCCGTCAGGCCCTCAGAGCCCACCAGGCAGCTTCTCAAGTCCAAAGCCAGCTTGACGAGAGATTTGGGCAGCGCGTCAGCAAGGCACAGAAGGCAGTCACCTTGCGCTCACTTCGTTGCAGTTCCTCGCTTACTCGGTACTAAGGAGACCCGATTCTGAAGGGATGCGAGCCGCTCTGTGTTGTGACGTAGGCCAGGCCCAGCTCCAGCTGGCTCAGTCGCTCCGGCAGCGCCTGTGCAATCGCTTGCACACCACCTGAGATCTCTGAACGTCTCTCATTGTCAACCTGACATCACCTGTTGGGCTTGCCAAAGTCTGTTTATGACAAACACGCACAGGGAGAAACGTGATCTTGGCGCACAATCGTGGGAACGGCAGAAGTGAGCAACATGTTCAACGAGTTCTTTGTCGCAACATGTTTGAGAATTGGAACCGGGCTGGTTTCATTGATTTGAAGTTTGGCAAGAGCTGAGAGGCATGGTGCTATACTCGGAACATGGAACACTGCGGGACAAAGGGCTGTCTGCAATGTCGGTGGCCCCGAGCTGCAAGCTTAGGCGTGACAGGCGCCGCGGTAGTTGACGTGCCAAGATTTCTGCCTTGCAAGACTACAGTATCGTGAATCAACAACGCCGAGCGCTGAACACGGAGAGCTTGCAGCGTCATCTCTGGCGAAAGGAAACAGTGCAACTGTGCAACGCCAGTATCGCCAATGCCACAGCTGCCCAAGTCCAGCTTCAGGCGTGAAAGACGCTGTGGCAGGTGAGCTGCCAATGCTGCGACGCCATCCTAGGTTGACCACCGCACCCCAGCAGATGAAAGTTCCTACAATGCGTACGCAAAACGAACTAGAATCTAAAGCGCACCACACAGCTCTCGATATGTCGTAGCCATGCATCTGTCGTGATTCCACACAGGCAGAAGCTGAGCTCCAAGATTGTGAGCTTCTGTGGCAAGCGCTGTGCCAGTGCTGCATGGCTTCCTGCCGGGATGCGGGAGCCGAGCAGGGACTGCATCTGTCTAGATCTAACGAGTCCAGTGCAGCGATCAACAGACCCCTGAGCTCGGACCTAACAAGCAGTCGCGAAGCTCCAGGCGCAGGCATTGCAGCTGCCCGGGGCTCGCCAGCAGATCTTCAATGCCCTCCTTGCGCAAGCGAAGGACGTGGGGCAGCCGGGGGGGCCCAGTAAGGCGCAGTTAGGAAGGACAAGCAGGAGTGATTTGCGAGGCGAGTCAGGCCTGGTTGCTGGAATCCTCAGCAGTCCTTGCAGGTCAGTCCGCCCACCTCGTCGCTCCAACGGACTCCAACCTGTCGGAGCTCTGATGGTTGCCTGCAGTATACGCTTCTCTTAGTCAATTCAAGGAGATGCTATAGCGGCATCTGCATTTGCTTTCTCCACCTGAAAGCCACAAAGATGCCTTTCTACTTTCAGCCCGCTGTCCTGCTTCAGTTTGTGACAGCTGCGCAGGTCCATGCACAGCCTCTTCAGTGTGGTCGGCAGGCTCTGGCCGAGCTCTCTCACCTCCGCGGTGCCCAGGTCCGTGTGATCCAGGTGCAGCTCCAGCTCACGCAGCGCTGGCATCCAGCGGAGTCTCTGTGCCAACACAGGCGTGGCTGTAGCAGCGTCCTGGGCGGAGCACACGCAAACAAGTCAGGGGATGCCAGCGGGGACTGCTTTTATACGCTTGAAGGCCGCCACATGAGTCGATGCAAAGCCTCGGTCGAGCCAAGGTCTAGGACCAGACGCTGCAATCCAAGGGGAATGCTGCCGAGCAAGACGGCGAGGTCATCCGAAAGCCTGTCCGTCACCCATGGTAACGGTTTGGGAAGTAACGGTCCTTCATAGGGATTATGGTACAGTACCCCCTGCTAAATCCCCATTAAGGAGTGTTAGTAGAAGGGGGAACATCCCAAGTTACGGTGCTGCAAGTGAAGCCTGGCCTGCGGCACATTCCGAGGCAAAGCTCGAGTTGCACCATACTCTCGAGCCTCAGTCTTAGAGTGCTGGATTTCCAGGCCGCATGGGCCTCTCAAGAAACGCTGCGAAACAAGTTCGATGAGCAAATATGTCAATGCACTACAAGTCCACAATGAGCCCGGTGTCCGGCAGAGCGCGGAAATGGTCCCGGGCGTCACGGCAGAGAGGCCGCTGCGCCAAAAATCCAAGCGCAGGACCTCAAGCTTTGAAGGCAAAGACGACAAGATAGCCTCCAGACCTCAGGAAGCAACAACGGAGGTTGGTGGATGTCTCAGAGCCCACATGTAGCCTCAAGACATCTCAAAAGCTCTCAAAAGCTGAAACCAGGCCTGAAGAAGTCACATGGCTTCCGCCCAACCCCAGCTCGAAGTGAAGTAGACCGGCTGGCGGATGCCAGGCCCAATCCTTGAGCAACTCCTCGATTGCACACCCTAAATGGGGGCAACTCTTGCTGAATCATACCTATAATTGACAAGACGTGCCATCTAAATAAGTGTACCGATTGCATCTAGTAGAACGGGTGGGGTTTTTGTTGGGTCTCCTCGTTTTGGGGGGGGGGGGTCTTTTTTGTTGGTCAGATATGGTCAGATTTCTTGACTCATACTCATAATACTTTTTTCCTACGACTTCTGATTAATTTTGCTCGAATCCTTATTGATTTTGGCTCTCCATCAGATAACCTCTATTCCCTTCATATTTTAATATGATCCTGTACATTTTCATAGGCTTCATACTCCCCCTCTGCCTCCATGCTTGCAAACAGCAAGGGGCAGCGCGCCCCCCCGTTGCAAACACAATGCTCGCATGATGGGTTTCAACATGACTCATATGCCCCCCCACCCCCCCCCCCCCCCCCCCCCCCCCCACCCCCCCATTTGCAAGCACAATGGTCGCATGAGGGTTTCAAAAGATTCACATGCTTTGAAGCAAGCTTTGCAAGGCTTAAAAAAGCAGGGGGGTGGGCGGGGGGGGGGGACAGGCCCCCTTCCCTTTGCAAACGCAATGGTGGCATGATGGGTTTCAAGTATACTGATACTCATATGATTTGAAGCAAGCTCGCACGGCTTGCAAAAGCGCGCGGGCTCGCATGATGGGTTTCAAAACGATTCATACGGGAAACCGGAACCCTGATTTCTGAACTCTAAACCCTCAAACCCGAAGCCCTTTGTCGAGGGGAGTCAGAAACAGACAGAATAAGAAGCAGAAGCCTGAACCTCTGACCCCGTCATATGCTTTGAAGCAAGATTTGTCTTTCATTTGGTTCTATGTTTCTATGTTTCCTTCTTCTTCATTCTACACTAGTTCTTTCTCTCTCACTATGTCACTATTTCTCTCCTTTCTCTCGTTCTTAATGACTTTATGTTGTTCTTTCTGTCTTTCTGTTGAAAATTACTTCTTCCTGTCTTTCTTTCTGTATTTATTCCTTCATTTATTCGTTATTTCTTTCGTTGTTTCTTTCTTTCTCTCTTTGTCTCTTTGTCTCTTTCTTTCTTTTGTACCAAAAGGCCCGCAGAAAAAACACATAAAAGAAGACCCCCACAAAATAGGCCTCCTAGCAGAACCCTACGCCCGAAGAACATCGATTCGCCAAAATCCAAGCTTCCTCCGCTCCAGAACATTCGAACAGCTCCAGATGAAACCTGAAGGTCAGAAAAGGTGCACATCAATCTCCACATGCCCAACTCTCTCATCCTACTGTACAGGAAACACTCTGCAAGACAACTTTTGACACGCTTGCCCGTGCCGACTTTGCACACTTAGAAGGAAGTCTTGGCACAAAAGCTTGCACACATTTTCTCGTTTCTAGAGTCTCGAAAACTCCCTCTGGGCCTTGAATTATGCGCATGCACGCGCATGCTTACGTGGCCCAAGCAGCTGAACCAAACGTGGTGGAAGGCTCCCGAGAAGGAGACGAAGTCCGGCACCAGACAGCGGCCGCCCCCGGAAGTCCTCTTTTAGCGGCAGACTCTACAGCCTCTTTCCGAAGATTCGCACCATCCAGTCTTGTTGCAGGTGATTTGCCGAGACCGCGGACCAGCTCCCTACACCGTGATGCTTGAGACACCTACAGTTAAAGTGACTGTTTGTCACCCTGCGGCAGCATCGGCTGTCCAGCTCAAGTCGCCGCAAAGACGCAGGCAACGACTGGCCCAACCAGTAAAGCACCTCAGCAAGAGGCCACTGCAACAGCACTCCTTCCCTTCCATGCCAGTGATTTTTTTACAACCATACGCGCAGGTAGTCCCCTGAAGTCCCCTGAAGTCCCCTATTCATTCAAGGGCACACCAGCTTCCACAGAGACATGCCCGGGCAAGGCAAGGCGCAAGTCCTTCAGAATCATGTTCGAAGGTTATTCACCCGCTTAGCGAACTCTTCTGTGGCCTGCGCAGGAGATGCTAAGGCTAAAGCTGTAAGTGAAGAGACCCAACTTCAGCGTGGCCATGCGTGCCCGAGAAATCCCGAGAAAAAGACCTAGCTTGGGGATGTTTGGGGTTTCATTATGGCTATGGGGGTGCTTCACCGTGCCGCAGGTGAGCAGATGGCTCCTCCATCCTCGGTGGCATTTTTGCGGCCAGGGCAGGGAGAAAAGCAGCCAGGTCGACTCCACTCCACCTCGGCACAGATTGGCAGGGCAACGTCCGCAAGCGCAACCACTGGAGAATCGAGTCCATGCTTGCGACGGCCAGGGCGCGTGATCTCAAAAGTCTGCACGCTGGCGGGCAGATT